TCACTCACTCACTCACTCACTCACTCACTCACTCACTCTCACTCACTCACTCACTCACTCACTCACTCACTCACTCACTCACACACACACACACACACACACACACACACACACACACACACACACACACACACACTCACACAGTCACACTCATCCATTCAGCCAAAAAGTGTTGCTCAAAAACGACAAAGCCACATGCTGTACAGCCACTACAGATGCACCAAATAAACTTACCCACATTGTAACTGGGTGCGAACAGGTCATAGATCTCCACATAGTCCATACAAGCCGTGCTGAACACTGACGCTTCCTGAAGTTGGAACACGTCGAAGGTCAAGACGACCTTGTTCCCGGCTGGTACCCGGATGTCATACTGACAATTCTGGTTGTTGGGGTACCGGGAAGGGTAGTTTGGAGAGTAGAAGGTACCAGAAGAGGCCGTCAGAGTTCCGCCACAGGACTGTGATATAACTGTAGGACATGGAATGAGATACATAAAGTAAAATGCCTCTTTTATATTTATATTATAGAGTATCAACTCTTCTATTGACAAACGCGTTCCATGTTTTATCAAACTCATGGTGTAATCGGAAGGGACATGATTCATTTCATTTTCATCAAAGAATGGGCGGTTTTGTCTTCGAATTTGTCAAATATATTTAATAAAAAAAAGATATTTAGGGAACTCTAGTCGATCATAAATTCCCCCCGTTGAAAGTGTGGCCATTTTCGAGAAATGAAACAGTCTCAACAAACTCAGATAGTCTAACCTAGATATTATAAGTTGAGTAAAAATGACTCGAATTCGCACCTGGTGAAGAAATCACACCGACAAGAGTAAGGGCCGCTATCACCCACATGTTGTTCGCTTTCATGTACCCGCCTGTACTGCGCCTGTAGTAATGTATTACTGTACTGTTGTTGTCACGTATGTTTCTATCTAACGACTGGATGATAATTGTGTAAAATAAACTCAAGGCATATCCAAAAAGTTGATATTTACCGACGAGGACATGTTAGATGATAAACTCTAAGCACTAATGCAATAATTTGTTTACATATTTGATTTTTCTTCCACCGTCAGTACAGTGATGTTTACATGCGAGACAAACGCTCAAGATAGTGGTACATATTACGTTACTGATAACATACGTATACGTATACGCTTTACGCAGGCAACGGGACAGCTGTCAGACGAACATTGTGGTTCCCATCATTTGAAGACTAATATTTATACTAAGTGATATAGACATAAGGCGACCTTCGTATATAATAAATTGTGTTTGTAAATGATACGTACGTGTGTACTGTTGGGATATCCGAGTGCAATTTACCGGCAAAAGTCGCAATGAAGGAAGATCATAATCTACGCAAAATAAGTGGTGAAAAATGTTCAACGAAACATCTGTTCAGATATGTATGACCGTAACTAGGTGCTGGAATAGCAGATATACGTGATAGAGTAAGCAGAGGGCCATAGCAGTTGTTGTATGCTTGTTTCTGTGGATTTTTCGTCCGTGTGGTAGAAGAAGAGAGTTTTGTCCACCATGTTTGCGATCGTGACAATTATTGTGCTGATCGTTTCAGCTAACGGTAAGTCCTCAGAGCAATTAAGTTAGCACTACTTGAGTTTGAAAATATCTTGTGGTAGAGTTTTTTTTACTATTCTTGCCATTCTTGTTGACAAATAAGTTTATTCAGGGCTTTGTAATCTCCATGTATAGTGTGCGTCGTCTTTACTAGTTTCTTTCTTTGTTTCTTTATTCTCACCTCCCTTTTTTAGTTTGGGATTGTAGCTATTGGTAATACAATTGTAATAATCACAGTCGTACTGAAGTAGCAAATAACAACAAAAAAAAAGGTTTTTATATCTTAGACTCACCATTATTGTAATCAGATAGCATACACAACCGCCTCATTTTTATGGAAAATATGTACGATTGGAAAGAATAATAAACTGTTTTTTTTTTTCAGGACAGAATTGTGGTGAGTCCCTCAGCGGTCCTTCAGGGACTTTCGCAACCCCGAACTACCCTAACAATAACTACCCTCACAACTCCAACTGCCAATGGGACATCACGGTCGCATCCGGGGCCAAAGTGTTGCTGCAGTTCAACGACTTCGCGCTAGAGGGCCCGTCAGTTGTCCATGGAGACTGCGTGGATTTCGTCGAAATCTACGACCTGTTCGCCCCAAACTTCCTTGTTGGTACGCTATACTTAAAATCTATCAAAGTTTCATTCAAACGGTTGTTTTTTTCTCCCCTTTTCTTATAAATTTTTGAAAACCTGTACTGAATTATTGCATGCACGACAAAGAGCTGTCTACATGCATACATGATCATCTATGGTATTATGTTTAGACCTTTTATGCGTACAGTTACAGTTCAAGATACAGACATAGCGTCTGGACACAGGATCACTATGTCTATATGCAGATGACCTATTATTAATACAAAAGTACATGCCCTTAGTGCACAGGGCATCTGAAATTGAACAGAATATACATGTAATAACCAAGTGTCAATCAGCCATAGATAACAAGCATACCTCGGCGTTCCTACCACCAAGGAAGAAAACACGCAAGAATTATAATATGAGAATTTCTCTTTGATATCCCAACCCTGTAGGTAAGTGGTGTGGGGATGACAAACCTCCGCTCTACCTGTCGGCGTCCAACAGCCTGATAGTGAGATTCAAGTCCGACTGGCTCTTCAAATACCCCGGCTTCCAAGCCTCTTGGAGGTAAAGCGTTGTGTCCCTCCCCCTCTCTGTAATCACTCTACACTGATGATAGAAGTTCATCTACGTTTGAAAAGGTGTAAAGGACATATATCAGGGCACCCAGGCCATCACTCAATAGAGTTTGATCATTTGCTAACGTCAGGTATCCGTAAAGTCTCGTGTGAATAAGGTCACGTGTCTGTTACCGTAACTCTCGCGAGATTACGTTTGTAAGTGATTGTTCAATAATCCTGATGAAGGTGCCAGTGGTCGTTGAAAATTTTATCTCTGTGTACTCTTTGTACAGGAATAAAGTTAACCATTCTGCTATATATACTCTATATTGATGGATGTGTTATGTACTTCCGAGCAGTACCTTCGGCGGTACGACCGGTACCAGCACCACCACTACGGCTGTGGACTGCGGCAGCCCGGCGATCAGCCCTTCTCTGGCGCGGGTGGTGGGGGGAACCACTACTGTCCCCAACAGCTGGCCATGGATGGTGACTTGTGCTTCTTTGAAGCCTTTTGAAAAATCTACAAATTGATAGTTATGTTAATCAGCAATTATTGGACTATTCACTGGAGTATAGTGACCACAAGTGTACATTTGGCAGTACTTTTAATATGTAATCCTACTTTGTATTACATATATATATCATCTATAAGTAGTCTAATCTAGTGGACGATTCATGTGTTTGGATTCTCAGACTGTCACTGTTTCTCTCTGTCAGGCATCTCTTGCCAAGCATGGTGCGCATGCGTGTGGTGGGTCCCTCATCGCTCCAGGCTGGATCCTTACGGCTGCGCACTGCTTCGATGGGTACGTACGAGGGTAGCTGCACTTACGTTGTGGCGTTCTACCATCTCTATCCTCTATATGATATAGATATTGGACTGCGTCCGTAAATTGTACATGACCGTCTGTTGAGCAGTGTGGGCATGAAAATACTACCTTCTCTTCATTTGAAATTTTCACTATATAGACTTGCCATTGGCCTTGTGCGCTAGTTGTAGATCATATGTAAACCTCTTTCATGTATAGTGTTTCTCTTACTAGTAGGTGCATTTTTTCTAACCACTTGTCCCGATGAATCCAGGGCTTCCTACCCGTCACAATGGACCGTTCGACTCGGCAGCCACAACCGAGAGTCCACCGACCCTCACCAACAGAACATCGGCATACAGAGGGTAATGTACTTCTTTTTTCTGGCGTGGGGTCGTGTGGCGTAACAACAGAGTGTTTGGCTCAGACACAATTTAAATCCTGACATGTCACCGGTCTTGTGCCGTTGGGAAAGGCACTTAACACCTGAATCGTTGTAATAATGATACGTTTACTCTTGTAATGATATGTTTCATTCCTAGTAAATACAAAATACAAACAATACAAATAGCTTACTGAATGATGAAATTTGAAAGAATGTAAAGAAATTCGAAGTAGATTATCGCTGAATACATAATCCTCTCTAGATAAATTACTTGTTTGCCGTACTACAACCTTATGATGTAGAGATAAATACGTTTCCCATGCATATGCCTTTTGCTACTTCCTTTCCCTGAAACGTTTTTTTTTTACAATCCACCACGACCTATAGATTGTCGTCCACGAGGGTTACAACGGCGCCAGCAGCAGTGACAACGACATCGCCCTGCTGAAACTCAACCATGACGCGACCGTCAACAATTACGTCAGCCCTGTGTGCGTGGCGCCGGGAGAGTTCCCCAGTCAGACGACCTGCTACGTCACAGGATGGGGCGACACAAATGGTGACGTAGTCAATCTGTGTGGACAATTTCACGTGCTACTACATCAAAGAAAGGGCGCCACATTTTAGATGACGTGGTCAATTTGTGTGGACAACTTTGCTTATTTTATTCGTTGGTTCAAGCCCCACGACTTGGTTTCAATATTAAATGGCCGCCAATTTCGTCATGGAAATAAAAATCGGTCAGATCTTAGAATAACTGTGAAACATGTTGAAAATCACTCGATATTTTACACAAGCACACGCAAGTGCGCGCACACGCACGCGTGCGCGCGCGCGCGCGCACACACACACACACACACGCACACGCGCACACACAGAGACAGGTGTTGTCAGCTTCATAGTCAAGAAAAGTTGACGTATAAGATATCATACGTCTTGCGACATACTGAATATATTTTCACTACTCCATAGGTGTGAACTTCCAGATTGTCATGGCTGCCCAGCTCCAGCAGGGCGAGGTGGAGATTATCGACTGGAACACGTGTAACCTGGCCAGCTGGTACGCAGGCGCCGTCACGTCCAACATGCTGTGTGCGGGCTGGCCCATGGGGGGAACCGACGCCTGCCAGGTCTGTGTCAGCAGTTATTATTTACATAGAGAAATGAACTGTATACGTAGGTCTTAGGTTTGTAGAATTCATTCTTTCCTAGAACTATCGCAGAGTGGAACTCACTGTCACCAAGTACAGTAGGGGCATTATCATTAGATAGCTTTAAACAATGTCTAGAGTTAGATGTCCAAGTGTTAGGTGAAATGTAGCCAGGTGCCGCCGCGCCGCGTGCCTGCGAAGCTGGTGTGTTACGCCGAAGGGCGGTTGAGTGAGAATGAGCGTAGAATGAGAGCTTGTTGTGACCAGTACTAAATGGGCATACCCCGGCCCCCAGTGTCTGAGGAAGGGGCTTTAGACTGTCAACTTGACCTGAGGTCAATCTGTCAATCTGTGGTTACAACCTCCGCTTCCTGCTATACACGCAAACACACGCACAAACACACACACACACACACACACACACACACACACACACACACACACACACACAGAGAGAGAGAGAGAGAGAGAGAGAGAGAGAGAGAGAGAGAGAGAGAGAGAGAGAGAGAGAGAGACCAAAGCAAGACCTCCTTGTTCACGGAGGTAATGACGTGTTGGTTCGTGTGTTGCTCCGTACAGAACGACTCCGGCGGCCCGCTGGTGTGTAAGAGCGGCAGGAAGTGGTACCAGGCCGGGGTGGTCAGCTGGGGGTACGGCTGCGCACAGCCCAACAAACCCGGCGTCTACACTGACGTCATGAAGTACCAGAACTGGATACAAACCAAGATGGCGCAGTACCCTTAGACGCGAGCATGCGCACTGCCGATACAAGAAAAGCCCGGATGTACACTGCACGAAATTCTACCTATAAGCATACCTTTAACATGCATAAACGCATGTACGGCTTTTAGGATTGTAATCAAAGATGTGAATAAAAAAATTAAAACATTATTAAGATGATTTTCTTTATTTCTCTGCAATTATGTGCTATTTTGGTTTTACGTGTGTAATGTTCCAAAAGAAGTAAAAGAAAAAGAAAAATGGAATGGCAAGTATCAGGAGTGAATTCTCTTTCTGCAAGAAATTTGCGACACTTCATCAAGTTATTTTTAAAAATGTACATTTGAGAGGGAGATGACAGTAAACGGTGTGCGTAGACGTTAGAAATCTTTGTAATAAAAGCTAATAAAGTCCTAGCATGCGCTCTCATGGTGCGGCAGTAACAACCACAACATAATGGGAGAATGTTTTTTATATAAGGCAATCTGCTTACTGTAATGCCTTTCAGACAGTAGATGACATTGTCCAGTGAAAGCATATTTATCTCCGTAACAACGGTAGTATCAGGCAAACAGCCCTGCTTTCTCCTGTACATACACCACCTGCCACTCTCCCATAGGACGGGATATGTCAGCACAGAAGCATAGGATTGTCCGAGTTTATATAACATTTATGACGATGATTATTTTGTTTATTCATACATTGAGGAGCGTAACACAACACAAAGTTTTAGAGCACTCAAGTAGCAAGGACTTATTCACTACCACTTACACATAACATTCGTCGTCACAGTGGGTGTTATGATCTAGAAGAAAGTTTGTTGTCGTCTTTACAGACAGTTCTATCACCTATATTCTAATTTAGTCTCTGGCCACCAGTTTCTCTGCCAACTGAGTCTATCACTGAGTTATGTCAAACCTCTTCTGTTTGGGTACAACGGTACATCATTTTCTTAAGTCATCGTCAATCACGTTTTCACCACATTAAAAATCGTTGTAACGGGATATCTTTCACAACGATTCAGTAGAACCATAGGCAAGTAACTTGTATTGAAGTGAATCTATCTCAAAGTTAAGGTTAATGACAATTGCAAATGTTATATCAAGGAATGCACACTTTATAAACGATCTGCATGGACTCAAAATAATTTTTTTTGTAATTTTGAGCTACGTTTTCTTTGAACTCCGCATTTTGCTAAGACAATGGGATGTTGAAATATATTGATATGATATATATTGTTTGCTCCAATAAGCAGACGTTGGACGGCGTCTTCTCCGTTCTAGATCTTGAGACAGAATTTATACAGAAGATATCGATTTTCAGACATGCTATGTTGACAATGTGGGCAGTTCTTATCCGCGTTTTGTTGACATATCACCTACCGACCGACGTAAGCGGGGAAATGTTGTTTGATAAGTAATTATGAATTACCTCAAAATTTTTATAGGGCAGCAAAGGGCCAGAGCGTGATATTTACATTAGGTGTGTCACAATTTACAGCGTTTACTGATAATTTTACCTTGTTTCAGACTTAGGTATTGCAATATCGAGTCCACCCGTTAAAAGGGGGCTGCCTAGAGAAGAAAACTTTGTCCGTGACAAGATCCGCTCACTATGTGGTACCTAGTTCTCCTCGTGGCCCTTCCTTTGGCACTCGGGCAAGGTAAAGCTTATTGTTACTATATTATCAACGTATAGGTTTATTAGCATGAAAGTTGACAAGTTGGAGGTATCTAATGCAATTTCAGGGAGGCAAAACAACAAATATTCTGAAAGAGGAAATTTTTCTAATATTGACATTTACTACCATTTTACAACGTGGGTAGTCACGTCATTTGTGGGTACCGTCCATGAATAGCTAGAACTAGTCTATGATACAAAAGAAGCAGCCATTTCTGTCATCGACGTCGCATTATTGACCCACGGATCTTATTTAAGGGATTAACTCAATCTACTACATTAAAAGAATAACCAGCTGCAGAAAATTGACATTGAAAATCCAGTTTTCCCGCCCTGAAATTGCATTTGATGCCTTTGACATACTGCCTTTCTTTGCTTATGTTCCTGTAGCGTTAGTGTCGATGCGATACTCAAAAGGGAAATGTATAACTTTTACAACGCTTGTGCATTGTTCGTCTTTATATCATTCAAACCGCGAAATATGGATCAATAGGCATCTGAGACTAACATCCTGTCGTATTTTTATCAGCTACAGTAACATTATAGCTCCTATATAACATAAGCTTCTATACTCAAACAAAAGGCGAGGCGCTAATTGATTTATTAGCATTATCTTGTCTTAGTTTGTCTTAATATCTGTTTCCCATGGACTGTCTAAATAATTGTTAAAAGACATTTACATATTTGCTCAGTTTCTTGAGTAACAGATTTCTTGCATGTGGTAATCTCTTATTATTACCCTGATGTCTAACCTTCATCAACATAATTGTTGCCTGGTTCCGTTTTAGACTGTTTCACATATATTTCTTGGGTGGTCAAAAATATTAGAATGCCCAATAAACAACGGCTGCAATTTTTATTGACTAAAGATAATATAGAAAGAAAGGTTACTAAATTATGATGTCAAGGAAAGTGTATTGTTTTGATTGTTATTCTCAACTACGTACAAACTCTGGATACTTGAAGTTACTAGTAATTACGTATTTCCAACTCCTACTATGTATTTTCAAAATAACAGTGGCCAGTGCCTTAATGTATTCCTATCCCTACATATAACTACAGGATGCGGTGAGTACCTGACCACCCCTACAGGCGAGTTCACCACTCCGAACTATCCCGGCGATTACCCGAACAACACCCTCTGTAACTGGAACATCCAGGTCGGTAACCATGGTAACAAAAATGTCAGCTACACTTTTACGTTGAACAATCCCACAATTTTTGACCGAGCTGTTGAGCATTGCTTTCACATCTGGTTTGATTACTTCACTTTTGGTTGGACGATTTCATTATTGTATAACGTTACAGGAAGAATAGCAAATACGTAATGTTTTCTTTCTATCCACAGGTACTTTCTGCCAGTCACTTGTACCTGCAGTTCGAGGATCTGGAGTTGGAGGAAGTAGGGGGCGTTTGTCGTGACCGAGTTGACGTCTGGGATTTGGCTGCCCCCAACCCACTCTTAGGTAAGGGGCAGGGCAACTAGGCCTTTTCTTGGGGGGGGGGGTACTTTATTAGAAATCTTCATCATTAAGGCAGAGATTTAACTTAAGTGGTAACATGTAATAGAAAGCGATAAGAATCCAAAAGTTCAAGTTTTAGTTCCAGTACAAAGAAGGAAACTCACAATGAATTTTCGGTCGATCTCGTAAAATTTCGTCATATGTATGATGCACTCGCTGACTCTCCGGAAGTCGTAAGCGTGATGGCGTCAGGAGCGCATCAAATGTGGCGGGAAGACATCTGACGAAGGTTGACAAGATAGACCGAAAATTCAGTGAGTTTCCCGAGTTCTTGTGTTGGAGTAAAGCTTGAACTTTACGACTATGAACATTGGGTTTGTTTAAGAACTCAATATACATCATAACGATTGTTCCAGCCCGTGTTTGCGGGGATACCCCTCCCGGACTCATCACTACCGCCAGCAGCTCTATCTTCCTCAACTTCCAGTCGGACGACTCCATTTCTGGGCGGGGGTTCAAGGTCTCCTACACGTCAGAGCGACTACCTATGGGGGTGTCCTGGGGTGGGTAACAAGAGTGAAAGAATTGGCGAATGAATGATAGAAAGTATGAATGACGTTTTCCTCCCAACTTGACCATGGAACGAACTGCAAATGGAAACATTTGATCATTTATTTTTCTTATTATTTAATTATTAATGTACAACTGGATAGATATTAAAAACTGTCACTGTGACAGAGACATTTAAAACTGTGACAGTGGCATTTTTCAATGTTGCTTGAGTAATTGTTTTCTTGTACGTCTCATTGCCTGAATGCCTAACCTTTATCGATGTACTAATTCCCTTTAGTCCGGTTGCCAAACCCCCGATTTTTGAAGAACCTTGCAATGCGGTCCATACAAAGTTTTTTTGTTGTTTCTATATCTCTGAGGTGTGCTCTTTCAGAATCTGAATGATGCCACTCTGTCATCCTTGGGCAATTCGCACAATATGCAAATTAAGGTGGCCATTACTGAAACTCCAGTTTTCGTCAATATCTCGGGAACTACTCATGGTATCAGAATAATTTTGGTGTCTATCCCCATGTTTTGAGGGATAACGAATTAAATTAAGCCATTTCAGTAAAGATAGAACCATTATTTTTTGCTAAATATGCAAATTTGGGCCTTGTCTGTTATTGACGCACCTGGCTGCCAGCAAGGAGGGGTCCTAATTCCGACCCATGTTCCATGCAAACGCACATGCCTTGGTATAGTTTATCTGACCCAAAACCTGTTCAATATTGAAAGACAAGTTTACCTAAGTCTAGATGGCAGACGTCTTCTTGCATGAAACGCCGCTTGCGTATGATTGTAGACACTGGCTGTTGGTTAGCTCTGGCTCATATATCTGTGTTGGGTATGAAGTCCTGTCGTCTGATGCTTAAGATCTTCCTCACGCATTCACTATCAGAAGCATGCAGTGATTCCAGTCTCTTTTCTTTTTTCTTGGCTGATTTCCACATAGTAGGTTTCAAAGTCAAGCTGGTTGAAGGCTGCTGAGGCCTTTCCAAGTCTACAGTCTAGCTCATTGTCCATCTGTCCTTTGTTGTTGGTGGAGCTCCCAAGGTAGGTGAAGTTCTCCGCCACTTTCAATTTGTTCTCGTCAATGGTCACACTTCTAAGAGGAGCGTGTGTCCCTATCAGCATGTTAATTGATGGCCCTGATGCTGAGCCCAATGCTGTCTGCAGACGGACTATGTTGGTCACTAGGGGTTGGAGATCTCTGGCGTTTTCCGCTATGTCGTCTGCAAAGTCAAGGTCGGCAAACTTTGTCTCTGGAACCCACTTTACCCCCGGCCCTTTTCTCCTGTTGCTTCCCAAGTACCCAGTCGATAGCCACGGGAAAGAGGATCTGTGACAGGACACAACCTTGGAGGATCCGTCTTCAAACCACCAGCTGTATCTAGATTCCTTCAACCGTCCGTACACAACACTTCGAGTTTCAGTATATCTGTTTAACTGCATACATAAGTTTACTTGGCAGTCCATAACTGTACACGATAAAGAGGGACTTTAGATGCTATCAAACGCCTTGCAGAAATAAAGGAATCTGATAGCTAGCAAGGGGTTTGCAGTTCAGCACATTTCCTCCACCGCAGGGTGAAGATCTGCTCAGCACAGGATCTCTTTGAGCGAAAGCTAGCTTGTTGCTCGCAGCTCCCAGAAGACCTTGCCTGCTGCATCTCTCATGCGGTTCAGGAGGCATTTGGCACACACCTTCACTTGTATAAAAAAAATTGTCACTCCCCTTAAGTTATCACATTCATTCAGGTTTCCCTTCTTTGGAATACACACTTTAAGCCTAATGGTATGTCACAATTCAAGAAAGGGGCCCGCTCGGCTCGTTTTTGGCCTGTGTTTTGGCACTACCGAATTCGGAACGGGACCTGGAAGGCAATGGGCGGGGTTCCCGACGGCTGCCGGTCCTATTTTTTTGGTCCCGCGACGTCGCCAAATTGATTTGACTCAACTTAAAGTCACTTCAGGCCCCGGCGGGCAAGGTACGCCGAAGCGACCCCGTAACCTCACCGGACCAAACCGTAACCTAGCCGCCGGGTCACGCACAGGCACCTGTCCAAGATTATGAAGTCACGTGTGTTGTTCTGTGCTTGAATTGTTCAGAAGAAGGTAGTTATAGACAATATAGAGGGTAATGTGCTGTTCTCGACATAGTTACATCATCAGTCAGTCATAGTGACCATACACGGGGCTGCGCATCAACCAGCAGGGCCGAACCCACCATACCAGCCACAGGCGTACCAGCCTGGGACCTGCCAGGATCGCCCCTTGACCCCGCCAGGGACCCTGTAGCTACCCGGCCGGAATGCAAGAGCTAGTCGGCACCCTATTGCATCCCGCACAGGTCTGACAGAAGACTGACTGGGCACCGGACGGGTCCCCAACAGAAACCGGTCGTCAAGGGGACCAAAATTTTGTGAATTTTACATAGAAGCCGCCTCAGCGCCCCGACAGGGAGCCGTAAAGGTAAATTCAATTGTGACCCTGACAGCCGGCGTACGCTCGGCTTCATGACGCCGGCCGGCGTCTACACCGAGAACATGCCGAGCAGGCCCCGTTTCACATGTGACTCCAGCTGAACTACTGATCCGTTCTTCCAGTCCTCCAGCACTTCCCTGTGATCGCCGTTGAATGCCAGCTTTATTCCAGGGAAGGCGTACTAGGGAAGACGGCTATGGTTCTATTAAAGCGTTTGCGATGTACGGCGATCAGAAAAGCATCCATCTCACAACACAGTCACCCTCGGCTTTCAGCATCTCTGAAGTGATGCCATTCATGCCTGGTGACTGACTTCAGCTTCAGAGATGTCCTCGATCTCAACAGGTAATGGGTGTAGGTGCTCATCAAAGACTAATGCTACTGAGGTATGGCTTGAGCAGTTTAAGACTTTTTGAAAAGTATTCTGCCCACCTGACAAGCTTGTCCTCCCCCTAAGACAGTGGTAGGGTCCCATCCTCCGCCTTAATTAGGACTGTGCACTTTTGAGCGGCCGCCGGTCATCTTCCTGGAGATCTGTTAAGCTTTTGTCCCAATTGTAAAAAAAGAAGTCCCTGGCGGGTAGTTCCCGGGCTGTTTTTGACACTTTCAGCCGTGGGACACCCCGCGGCTACCGGGCTATTTTTCTTTGGCCTGTCCGGGACTCAAGAGAATTCAACTTAAGTCTACGCTGGCCACGCTGACATAAAATTCAGGACGTCAAGTTAGCGCTTATTCTGCCTGTACACAGACGCTGGTAAGGCACAGGTGTGAGCTTATGAAGGGTCTAATATTTTTTTGAACAGATTGTATCATTTATTAACATTCCTATCAGTGTTCAGAGGTACAGGCGCCCATGCTGTATACTGGTTAGTTTTTGCATAATTTGCATTAAATTTTGGTGTGATCAATACTGGGATGGTTTATTCTAAATATCTAGCCTCAAAACATGTGTATAGTACAAATGTATGTGTATTGTATCAAAAGTATTGTTGATACCATTGAGATTTATTGAGATATTGACGAAAAACAGATTTTCAGTAATGGCGGCCTAAATTTTCAAATTAAGCACAAAAATATCTATTTGATCTCCACTGAAATGGCCTATCCTCAATAGTTATTCCAAAAAACATGGGGAAAGACACCAAAAGATATTATAATATCATATGTAGTTACTGAGATATTGACGGAAAACAGATTTTCAGTAATGGCCACCTTGATTTGCCTAAAGTGCGGCTTTAATTTGCATATTCAGCACAAAAAAACTGGTTTGATCTTTACTGAAATGGCTTAATTCCATTCGTTATCCCTCAAAACATGGGGATAGACACCAAAATTATTCTGATACCATGAGTAGTTCCTGAGATATTGACGAAAAACAGATTTTCAGTAATGGCCGCCCTAATTTGCATATTGCGCGGCCCAAATTTGCATATTTAGCAAAAGATAATGGTTCTATCTTTACTGAAATGGCTTAATTTAATTCGTTATCCCTCAAAAGATGCGGATAGACACCAAAATTATTCTGATACCATGAGTAGTTACTGAGATATTGACGAAAACTGGAGTTTCAGTAATGGCCGCCTTAATTTGCATATTGTGCGAATTGCCCAAGGATGACAGAGTGGCATCATTCAGATTCTGAAAGAGCACACCTCAGAGATATAGAAACAACAAAAAAACTTTGTATGGACCGCATTGCACGCTTATCGGTCTCTGCCACCAGACTACTTGTTCCGTTTTAGATTGTTACACGGGCGAATCCATTGACTACCGAGGGACGGTCCGTGTGACTGAGACTGGGAAGACATGTCAGCGGTGGAGCAGCCAGACACCACACGCACACAACTTCAGACCAGAGGTAAGTAGTGTGACATCTTAGCATGAAAGTTCATCTGTGTTGGTATACTTTATTATGACCAACACTAAGTAAGACGGGGGGCGACACAGGTTATCTGACACGTACGACCCTTTGCTGGGGTTCAAATTTACTTAGTGTTTTTTCTTAGTGTTTAGCCCTTTTGGTCATAATAAGTTATCACAAAAGTTCTAGTGACAGTTTCAACTAACCACGCACCGCCTTCCTAATATGATTCAATGATGTCAAGGACAAAATAATACGTGGGCAAGCAATATACCTATTACCTATGGACATCTATGACTTACATCAATAGCGAACGTCGGAATTGGACTGCTACTAGTAATAGACATGCAGAGCTTCCCCGCTCTACCTATAAATCGTAGAGACTGTCATTCTCGTATAGGACTCTTCAGCCATTGCCAAAGCAGTAGGGTTGATCAGTTATTTTTACCATGGTCAATATTGACTAGTGCTAGCTAATGCTACTACTATAACAAGGCCATAGTACTAGCATTAACGCAAACTTTGACTTTTCGAGTGCTGCTTTTCTTGTTGCTTATACAGGTTGAGACATTGTGATGCCAACTGATGCCGTGGATGTCTGATAAATAGCCAAGCGTCATTTGACACTCTCAGGCATAGTTTGACAAAATACTTTTTATCTAGGTTATTACCGACAGAGGTCTTGACGAGAACTTCTGTAGAAAACCGGACGGAAACAACACGTACTACTCCGACGAGAGGCCGTGGTGCTACACCACCAACCCAAGTGTACGCTGGGAATACTGTGACATCACTCCCTGTGGTAAGTTGAGTGAACCGTAGAGGACACTAGGAATAATGTGAAAAATGTGACATCACTCCCTGTGGTAAGCTGTGTGAACCGTAGAGGACACTGGGAAATGTGCATATTTGACATCACTCCGTGTGGTAAGCTGTGGGAATAGTAGAGGACACTGGGAAATGTCCATATGTGACATCACTCCCTGTGGTAAGTTGTGTGAACCATAGAGGACACTAGGAATAATGTGAAAAATGTGACATCCCTCCCTGTGGTAAGCTGTGTGAACAGTAGAGGACACTGGGAAATGTGCATATGTGACATCACTCCCTGTGGTAAGCTGTGGGAATAGTAGAGGATACTGGGAAATGTGCATATGGTCAGGAGTTTTATTTCATGATTTTGGATGCCATTAGTGTAAATGTCACACTATTCTTCCTGGAGCCCATAGTGAATCACCAACAATAGTACCCTTGTTCACCTGAACATGCCCTATTCTTTTTCGAAAAGAGGTGTGTTGGTAGGGTGTGCCTCTCCCCAAACACAGGACCCCCATTTAACGTCTTATCCGTGGGACGACCGAAGTGTTAAAAAAGTTGACAGCTAATCCTAGCTACTATTCAAGCATACTTCAGCGCCTTAATTAATAACATCGATCGCTGATGTGCCTGCCCACCACAGAGGACGGAGTGACACCCACCGTCCCTACTACAACCGTGTCCACCACTACAGTCTCCACTATCCCGCCCACACCGGACTACTGGACCGGCTCGACATTGTCTCCGAACATCAGCGAATGTGGAGTTCCCTCCATCCCGCCTATAACTAACACCTCCGCCAGGATTATAGGTGGTATCGACTCTCGGCCTGGGAGCTGGCCTTGGCAGGTAATTTGTTTACAGGTTTGCGAAAGCAAAGCCGTTCTGTTTACCGGCCATCTCACTCATGAGTTGTTTATATATATGTACATTGTGGCTATTGGAAAAAAAAATACCTACGGAAATTGTATTGATATCAACGCAATGGGAAAATTAACCTTACCCATTAAAAATGACAACAACTGTTGCTGGTCATGCGAAAATGTGAGTACGTCTCGTTTTCCAATTGTGTTAGGTCTTAGATAGTTAAATCTTGCTACAGAATGAAATCTACCAACGCAGATGAACATTTTTCAGGTAATATATAATATATTCTTTCCAGGTTTCTCTCTGGCAGCGGGGCTACGATTCTCACGTGTGCGGAGCGTCTCTGATTGGTCGCCAGTGGGTCCTCACCGCGGCACACTGTGTTGAAAGGTACGGACAGTTGTATCTTGTATGTAGAATCCGGTCACATACGCCGTTTGATCCGTCGCACGATCGCAACCTGAGGGCATTCTTGGAACAGTGAAGTGTGTGTCCTGCAAAATTCAGCTGATTGTTGTCACTTAGAGCTTTCGACCATGCAGTCACTCTGGTTTTCTTCAATAGGCTGACCCAGTGAGACTAATCACGTGGCTTTTCTGAAGTGGGTCGAAAGTATGTGGTAATTGATGTCTGCCCCCGTCGCGGTTGAGTGATGGGTGATGTGCCCTGATGTAGATAGCCTCTTTCACCCCTCTCATGAAGTATTCTTGTTCAGTGTCCAGTATTCTAGTAGGTAATTATTTACCCTAGGGCCCGCTCAAATGCAACGGGGGCAGACATCGTTTAACATACCTTTGATCAAGTGTTGACGTCACACTTCAGAGAATTCAAGCCACGTGACAAGTTTCACTGGGTCATTCTATTGAAGAAGACCAGAGTGACTGGTCGAAAGCTCTAGGTGAGAACAATCCATTTTGTTGGAACAATAAATTTTAACTTTCGTGTTGTGCTGACATTTTGTTTTAACAGGGCTCAAAATCCGACCCAGTGGAAGGTCCGTGTAGGTACCTACACGCGGGAGGTCGACGACCCCAATCAGGAGATGCATGACGTGAAGCACGTCATCATGCACCCACACTATGACACCATGTCTCTGGACAACGACATCGCGCTGCTGCAGCTGAACGATCCAGTCACTGTCTCTGCGCATGTGCAGCCGGTGTGCATCTCAGCGCAGGAGGTTCCCGAGGGTTACGACTGTTACGTCACAGGATGGGGAGACACCACAGGTAAAAGGGGGTACATTTGGTACTCATGTTTACCTTTGCAGAAGGTGTTTTCTTTGTGTTTTTAAACCCACCACAAACGTGGTCAAGAGATAGTTGAAGTCAAATGAGGTAATAAGGAGAACAAAGCTTAAGACATACATATTCCAAGTGCAACATCTCTTACCAAATACCTTTGACCCAGTGTTGATGTCACACGTCAAAGAAGAAACGTGACAAGTCTCACTGCAGCTGGGTCAGTCTATTGAAGAAGACAAGAGTAACTGGTCTACCTTGTACGTAGATGAACATTTTTTTGTGTTGAAACATTCTTAATGTAAGTTTTACCTTCTATTTTAAACACGACTCTCTTCCCTTGTAGGATCCGGCAACGATCTCGCTTACTTCCTGCAACAGGCTCGGATCCAGATCATCGACACGGTCACGTGTAACCAGTGGAACTGGTACAACAATGAGGTCACAGGGAACATGCTGTGTGCTGGGTACGAGGCTGGCGGGGTGGACGCCTGTCAGGTAGGCTGACTACAGGTAATGCTAGGTAATGCCAGGCTCACGTTTCCGACTCGGGGCCCGGTCGGGCAGTCTGCGGGATACCGAGAACTAAAAGAACGCAGAAAAATGCTAAAAAATACGACTTGAGCATACTTTTTCTATATACCCCTTTTGATACATACCCCTCTAGACTGTGTAAATAGTATAATTTGAATTGTATAAAGGACGTCGAATGTCATTTTGTAATAGATTGTAGATTGTATACCAAAAGGAGAAATGAACTGAATAGATTTATACAAAACGCATTTCCCTATTTCATACACTAAAAGCTATAGAAAACTTCATATTAATCCTAATGCAACAAAGTAACTCCCATAGAAAAACATATTTTATGACTGGAAAGCGAAGAGAACTTGAATTTATCTAATGGTAGTTTTGTATCATCCTTTAACTGTATCTTTTCCTCATGTCTTGTTGTGACCTGCAATAGCCCAGTTCCGCAAAATTTTCAATAACCTTTTTCCCTTTACAGGGTGACTCAGGCGGGCCGATGGTCTGTCAGGGTAAGGACGGCCAGTGGTACCAGGCTGGGATCGTGTCGTGGGGCCACGGCTGTGCCCAGGCCAAGAAGCCTGGCGTCTACACCAAGGTGGCTAAGTTCGTCCACTGGCTAGACCATACCATGTCAGTACATGACAACGATCACGCCATCTTTGGAAAATAACCACAGATCAGATTATCAAGAAAGTTCATCTGTGTTGGTAGTAGCCACAGTACAACGTTAAATTTTATTCCCACTCAAAGAGTACAAAGGGATCACATTTTCAACGACCACTGTTTTAAGAGGTATAAAGGAGGCCATATATATCAGGGCACTCCAGTCACCACTTAATAGAGACGGTGGACGATATAGACTTCCTTCCACGTTTGAACAATTGCTGACGTCACGTATCCGTAAAGTCTCGTGTGAATAAGGTCACGTGTCTCTAACTGCAACTCTCGCGGGTTTATGTTCTAAGTGATTGGTCATTCATTATCCTGATGGAGGCAACAGTGGTCGTTTAAAATTTCATCCCAGTGTACTCTTTGTGTTGGAATAAAGTTCGACATTGCAATATAACCACAGATCAAAATGAGTGGTAAATTCCACAGGACAACCGTCGGCAGTATGGGAATGTTGCCAGAGCATGGGTGTCCATAGATTGAATTAAACTTGTTGACCATCAATTAATTGTGTCACTGTTTATTCATAACTTGTGGTAGGCTGATTTTGAGTTCTAAGATACTGAGATGGTTTTGTGAAAATAATGGTTAACTTTGAAGTTGAATAATAATCCATGTTAGGCTACCAGACGACGATTTCTGTAACAGTTGTGACTCCAGAAACAAGTTTGTTTGTCCCCGGTTACAATGTGTACTATGTGATGGGAATTGCCTCACCTGTTCTACCACACTCTTTGAGGACGGAAGAACTTTACATAATAGATCATCTATTCAACCAATCGGATGTCAAATATTGATGGGGGTACATTGCTTTGGTGTCGGAGGTCAAGGTTTGAAAAAAATGTGTATAAGAAGTATGAACTTTGTATGAATGTACAAAATGTTTACATCAGCCTTCTTTATGATAGAACACGCCTGACATTCACAAGATAGTACAGACTTCAATCAAGTCCCAAGTGTATCCAAAACTCTGTTGGTATTTTCATAACTATTGTGCTTTTGTGGTGTGATCTGTAGCGTGCAGCGTCTAAGTAGCCTCTTCTAGAGATGTTTCTGTCGCTTTTTGCCCCCATCGAAGGTCAGTTATACCAACTGTATAATACAGATACACTCGTACCGATAGATAGACCTTCAAGAGGAACTACGATTTTGAATGCCTCTTCTTATTTAATTGTGTTGTAAATCTAAAGAAAGTATTGGGAGACCCTATACTCTTTACGTACATGTAGATACACATGAAAGGAACGTAAAAACATATAGTCAGAGGTGAAGGTGGGGAGGGTCTTCATTCAATACAAACTATTCTTATATATCTTTTAATTAGAGCACCAACGTTTTCATAAAGAAAGGCTAAGATTTGTGTGTGTGTGTGTGTGTGTTTGTGTGTGTGTGTGTGTGTGTGTGTGTGTGTGTGTGTGTGTGTGTGTGTGTAAGGTAATCTTCTATTGAACCTCCAAAGATGCCATTGTGGCAGGTTTCAAATCTTGATCCTTGTGTTCTCAAAGGCACACATGAAAAGAAATGTATTCCCCACATTACAGACGATTATCTTCACCCTCACTCCATGATACTAAGACATCCATCAAACAAAAGTCAGAGACTCTATATTTGCTACCAACGTGACTGTTTTAATGTGCCATATGATTTGAAATGCTACAAAGGGACCTGCCCTTCTTCAATTTCACAGAAAAACGTTTTTATTTCATATTTAAAGATGTGTAGTATATGTTTTGTATTGCGTTTGCTACCCGAATGCTTCTAGCGAAATCTACACAGAGCGTACACAGAGGTTACAAATGCAATTCTCTCAGATGCAGATTTTATTCCAGATGCTATATAATAGCTTGTAGGTAGTATGAACAAAACGATTTCAGGAGCATGGATTTCGTGAAACACTTTATTCGGCGCTCGATACGACGGAGTAATTATGCGCGGCTGCTCTTTAATAGCTGCACTAGTTAGTGGCCATCTTCTGGAGGACCCAGTCCAACATGGAGGTGACACGGGCGTACACGCCGGGGTAGTTGGGCTGGGCACAGCCGTAGCCCCAGCTCACCACACCGTTCAGGTACCACTTGCCCTGGCGGGGGCAGACCAGAGGGCCGCCGGAGTCACCCTGGAACAGAACACCATAGATCTGTAAGCTGTGGTCTTGGAGGGCCGATTCACACATGAAAATGAGCAATAATAACAAGTGACATGCGACATGACCCCACTCATAACAACTGACATGCGCCATCACACCACTTATAACAACTGACATGCGCCATGACCCCGCATATAGCAACTGACATGCGCCAAGACCCTACATATAGCAACTGACATGCGCCATGACCCCACTCATAACAACTGACATGCGCCATGACCCCACTCATAACAACTGACATGCGCCATGACCCCACTCATAACAACTGAGATGCGCCTTGACCCCACTTGCGCCATGCAAGTGACGTGCGAAACTGACATGCGCCATGACGCCACTCATAACAACTGACATGCGCCATGACCCCACTCCTAACAACTCATATGCGCCATGACCCCACTCAGCCGATAACAACTGACATGCGCCATGACCCCACTCATTGAGCAACTGACATGCGCCATGACCCCACTCATAACAATTGACATGCGCCATTAATAAGGGACGCCTACCTGGCAAGCATCATGGCCGCCCTCCTGGAAGCCAGCGCACATCATGAACTGTGTGATCTCTCCGTCGTAGGAGTTAGCGGCGTTACATTCCTCGTTGCTGACCAGAGGGACACGGGCCTGCTTCAGCTGGTGATCGTCGCCAGTACCTTAGGGACAGAAAAAAAACACGCGTTTTTAGAATGAGATAAAAATCTACCAAAGATCAGTGGGTCAACAATGCTGCATCTAGTACTAAGGGCATTGTTGGAATAGTCGTGTACATGCCGTACAACATTCAACTGTCTCGTAACTGAAAAAAGCTCTCTTAGATCCTTGTCAGTGGTTGGTTCTGACATAGCCTGCTTCGACGACATAAAAACCCTGCAACGGCCTATGACGAATATCACCGCACTGTAACAAACAAACACACAAACTAACTAGCTAACTAACTAGCTAACTAATTAACTAACCGGCAAACGATCAGGCACACGAACAAGTGTGACAGAGTGCTGACGTCACATTTCAGAGAAGCCACGTGACAAGTCTCACTGGGTCAGTCTACTGAAGAAGACCAGAGTGACTGGTCTGAGTTGGACAAAACGTTATAACTTTAAACAGACACAGGAATAAGTTACGTCTTACCCTGGGTGTCTCCCCATCCAGTGGTGACACATGTGGTACCAGCTGGGGGATCGTCACCAGCGTGCTCGGGCAGACAGGCGATGTGGATGTACTGTCCCAGGGTAGCGGGGCGGGACAGCTTCAGCAGGGTCAAGTCCTTGTTGATCAGGTTATCGTTGTATTCTTCGTGCACGATGACCTTTGAAAACAATTCACCATGATCGTTTATGACAACTGCAAGGCTATTCAAATAAAGATAACGGCAAATACTATTTCTTCTAGGCCAAAAACGACCATAGACAAGTAAATATGGCAAACTTTTCGTCACAACAGAGCTCATTTTCCCCTCACAAATAAACAACTGCCTCATGAATGTACTCCTTGTTTATTTGTTGTCGTAAACATCATGTGACGTATATGTGAGAAGGGCCCAAACTTACCCTGGACAAGCTGAACCTTTCCTGTTGTGGCTCACTTCCGTCAGTGAGATGCTTGCCAAGAACAACTGTGTATCTGCTTGGGTTGGGGCTGTCGAAAGATAGAGAAATGTAGCTCAACACATCTGCTCTCAAAACATCCATTCGCTCATACACCCCTTTATCATTTGGAGTTCTCAGAGGATGTTATCCATATAATTAACATGGCTTGAACAGATATATCAGTGGACAGGACTTACTCGTCAGCGAAGCAGTGAGCGGCGGTCAGGATCCACTCGGGGTGGATGAGGGAGCCTCCACAGAAGTGGTAGGAGGTCATGAGAGACGCCTGCCAGGGCCAGCTGCCTTGTTCTGCCCCCTCACCTCCCACCACACGTCCGCTGGGGAAGACGGGCTGGATCGCGCCTGAGCCGCAGCTGGAGTTGGAGTTACCTACACAGAGAAATAGACGGAGATATACGCTTTAAGAGGGGGTAAAACTGTAGATATACAGTCAGTCAACGGAAAACTCACCATAATTGAACTCATCACTGGCGTCTCCACAGTCGTCAGGTCCGCCGCACTCTGACACTGACACAGTTTCCGTTCCAGCAGATTCTTGAAGAAGTGTACCATATTCAACGTCTTTGGTACATGGTATATGACCCGGTCAGAGTCGTCCCGATTCCTGACCCGGGGGTTTGAACTCACTACCTCCCCATTACAAAGCGAGCACTCTTCCCTATTGAGCTATTGTACCGCTTTTGTCTTGACCTGAACGTTATCATGAAACAGTAGTCAGTCAACGGAAAACTCACCACAATTGAACTCATCACTGGCGTCTCCGCAGTCGTCATTTCCGTCGCACTCCAGAGTGGCGCTGACGCAGTTTCCGTTCCAGCAGGTCCACTGATCGGGCGCACAGGTGGCTGGGGAAAGTTACAGAACATCTAGTTTATCTCCAAACGAAATATAAGTCGGCTCATATCATGTTTAACATTTGAAATGCTAAGAATTTGATGATGCTATTTTGCCCTCGATTTGCATGGAACTTGGCATTTGCAGTTTCTGTAAGCCAAGATGACTATTACAACAAAACGTCTACTGCTGAAACAAGTAAGTCTTGTATCACAGTGCTATTTGGAGCATCATACGCTGTTTGTGTGTTACGTCAGAGTCGCAATGATGGTTGGTCAAACCTGGAAGGAACGGAATTGAAACAATTACCCACTCATTACGTCGCGATCACGTGACTGCAATTAGATGCACAAGTTCAGATGTACCTGATAATTTTCAGGTGTAACCAACCAACATGGCGGACAATACCTACGTGACTTGAAACACCCTATCAACGTAACAAAGGTCTATTTTTTCCCGTGAAAGAACTGATACTTACGTGGTGGATCCTCGGCAGTGTAGGTACCGGTGAAACCGGCTTCCGTGACGGAACTGTCTGTCTTGAAGACCATGAAGGCCTGGCTGCCGGTGGTGGAGACCTCGCGGGCGTATGTTCCACAGAGAGTGGCGACCACAGGGGCAGAGCTGTCCGGGCCGTCATGAATGGTCAGGGAGTCGTACTGACAGGGACTCTCCACGTCAAAGGAATCAAAACTGGAAAAAGATAAAGCCTTGAATGAATCCGATGAAAATAGAATCACGGCTCGAAAAACGATATTTGATTGTGAATAAAAGAACTTTATATATATTATACGATTAAATATTCTGTAATAGATATAAGCTATAAGCCCTCAGCTCCTACCGGATGACCACGATCTTTCCTGGTGTGACGGAGATCTTGTAGGAACAATCGGCGTTGTTGCCGTAGTGGCCAGGGTAGCCTGGGGACGTGAAGGTGCCGGAGTCTCCGGGAAGGATCTCGGGGTTGTTACAGCTCTGAGCGAGACCGCCGGTATCAGGGATGGTAGTGGTGGTCAGGTCTGGGGGCAGAGTGGCTGTGGAAAAAGCACTCGTTAGGTATCTATTTATGTTTTATCGGTTTGGCTGTCACTCTCACCTCTCACAGCCAGGGCATCCCAACTACTGTAGCCGGTGGCTTTTAGAAAGGGCTTGCTCAAGTATGAAATGATGACGAAAATGTGCAAAGAAATGGCAACAAATGTCAATATCAGACTTTCTTATCCAGAATATGTTGTAATTGATGATTTTATTGTTTTTGTACTGTAGTCTCTGCCCCATTGAAAATAAATTTGACAAAGTTGAATGGGCCACCTAGCTGTTTGAAGATCTAAATAAAAATAAACAAGAATATTTCTTAGTTTTCTCTGCTTAGTACTCAGCACGTATGAGAATGAGTGTGAGAAGGTCAAACACACAACACTACCAGCGGACTAGCCCCTTTCTGTAGTGCCTTGCACAACTGTGTGTCACCCAAGGGCTATGGAAATGGAGATGGGCACCACCCCTATGCTCTGCATAGAGTGGGACGGGACCTTTTTGTATAGTTTTTTCAACTTGAAATTGCATTGGATGCCTTTAACTTGCGCCGAACGGAAGCGGTGTGAACTTACCACCGTGGCTGACCTCCTGGTAGGTGGCGGTGAAGCCGGTAGCCACGACGGAAGAGTCGCTGGTGAAGGTGACGGTGATGTGGTTGGTGTTGGAGATGATGTTAGGGGCGACCGTGCCACAGCTGGAAGCTGAAATGTAACAAGATGTTTATTGCAACTTCTTGTCCGAAAGGCTCATTGCAATACAGTGGCCCGTAGTATTTCTCACCTGCATGCTTACGTTTCGAATCAGTACTCCAGTCAGAAACTCTGAGGAAGATGTCTGACAGGCATTGAAACGTAAGCAGGTGAAAATACTACAGGTTGTGTAAGAAGAAAATACCTATATCACATGTCCTACAAACTTACCAAAATTATTTTCGGGCTTAGGATACTCCAATTCTAAATCGAATTATGATGTCACTTAAACGAATCTTTGTGTTCTAACTCAACATGGCCTAACGTACGCAGCAATGAACGTACTTAGCACATGTCCGCCCTCGGAGACCTGCACGGCGTCAAAGTCGCAGGTGGGCAAGTCGTCCTCAAGGTTGAAGGACTGGAAGGTGAGCTGGACGACCATGCCGGGAGAGACCTCGATGTCCCAGATGCAGCGGGCGTTGTTGTTGTAGTTGGACGGGTAGTTCATGGAGCTAAACGTGCCAGACGGGCCCTTCAGGCTGCCCGGGCCTCCGCAACCAGAATCTGCAAGCATACAAAGTTTCTAAACATTATGTTTAGCCCGACTGTACACTGCATAACATCCGATATTTAAGCATACTTCAAAACAAGCGTAAAGGCTTCGACCAACATCCAAGAATGAACAGGAAAAAACCTTGCGGAAACTTAGAAACTCTAACGCACAACCGAGAGGGAGGGAGACAGGCGGTCTGACACTCCGCCATACAGTGAGCCCACGACCATGATTTGGGTTAAGGGACCAAGGTACAAGGTACTTACTCTGAGCGGGGCGCTCGTCCACGGCAGAGTATTTGGCGGAGAAGCCGGTCTCGGTGACCGAGGAGTCGGACACGAAGCGGACGGTCATGATGTTGGAGGAGGAGGTGATGGGGCCGGGGATGGCCGAACCACAGCCCGTGAACAGCTGCAGGGCGCTCGAGTCCGCGCCATCGTAAACCACCACGTAGTCGTAACTGTTCGTAGGGATGAACGTTAGTTGATTTTGAATTTTGAAATTCGAGTCCTTTAGAAAACTAGTAATTTTCTATTTAAAGACAGAATACCTACTTGCGTCTCGGAGAGGGAAGCCGGAGAGGCATTGGGGTAAGTGGGGTACATTATGTAAGGCTTATTTATAGATATTAGTTCATGTATTAGTCATTTAATGCTTATGTTCAATAAGGGAGGCTCTATGTGAACGTTTGCTTATATTGAAAATGAATTTTCAAAAAAGTTAGTCGGGATCGGGAGTGTAGATCGGGATGGATCCAACTTTACTCTTTTGGAAGGCTCTCTTCAAATTTTGTGGGACATTCGTACTCATTATGTGTATATTTTAATTAGTTATTTGTAAATTACAACATTGAGTAACGTCCACTATAGCCTCTACCAGGCTTCGGGAGGCGGCTGGAAAGAGTAGAAATTGGCCAAATAGAGAGGAGACAGTATGCCAAGGTAGTTTCGTCGGCTGGAGAAAACAGTTTACCGCCTCCTGAAGCTTGCTAGAAGCTACGTCCATTAGACTACGATGGACTAGGCATGCTATCAAACTGGAGAGTCGTACGAATGCCCTTAATGGCGTCCTTCAACAGATCTATTGCAGCAGACAAGAAACGACGTTCTACAGAGATTTTAAGAATGGAAACTCACTCGCAGGTGCTGTCCTCTTCAATGTCGAACTGGGTGAACTCCAAGTGGACGTATTTGCCCTCAGTGACGGTGATGGTCCAGGTGCAGTCCTGGTTGTTGCCGTAGTTCAGCAGCTCCACCAGGCCGCTGTCCTGGTTGTAGGCACCGCCGCAGTCGGTCAGAGTGCCGATGCCTAAAGAACACAACCAACATAGGCGTCCCTTACCATGATGACCTCCGGAAGTTTAGCCAATCTTGGTCGGTTGCTGGTGATCGGGGTAAGGTTCTGAATGTGTGACGGGGGCTTTACAGACAGAGACGTTTTTTAATGGCATTGCTCAATGCATAGCCTAATGACGAATTCTAGGCACTGAGCTAGATGATACGACGGACATATGACTATACCAAATGTTTAAAAGACTTACCACCACCACCACCACAGTTCTGTTCGTCGCTCATGTCTCCACAGTCGTTGTCTCCATCACAGATCCATTCGGTGGGGATACACGTGTTGCCGTGACCGCAGGTGAACTCATTGGCACCGCAGGAGGCACCTGAAGAATGTGGATAGTCACTAACTTTACTATCAGAAGTTCCAGGCAATCCGCAAGAATACTGATCTCATTGTCTCAAATTTCTTTGTCATGTTATGTGTTAATGTGTATTTATGTGAAATGGATTTAATACTGATCTTAAAACCACCGTAATGGTGGAGCAATGTGACGTAACGGCAGAGTGCTCGGCTCGGAAAAATAACCGAAAGGAGCTGAGTTTGAATCCTACCATGCCACCGATCTTGTGCCTTTGAGAAAACTTGAGTGTGCCGTCAGCATGTCTTGTGTTAAATGTCTTCTGTTAAATTTTGGAATAAAAAATGTATGTCTACTCTATAGAGATCAGATAACAGTACACTCACCACCGGGGCAGTTAGCAGTTGCCTCGTCCTCTCCCTCTGAACAGTCTCCCCAGTCGTCACACTCCCAGCTACCGGGGATGCACTGTCCGTCGTTACATTGGAATTCTCCAGTCGAACACTGCGCTGCATGATGGAAAAAACACGTGCCATATCTTTGAGACGGATGGAAAAATACCCAGCAATTTCACATAGTGAAGTAAAGACGGATTCTTTGTCTTTACACTTTCCAAGTTCATCGTAACATGGACGGAATGAAAGAAGTTTTTGTCGTTTTTTTTCGGCGAAAACGCGTAACGGTCTAGTTTTCTACGCTTACGTAACGTAGGTAATATAGAGATATGCTGGTTCAAGAAAGGTTTAGGAAGAGACTTACCAGAAGCGTCAGCCTACGTAAGGCCACAATGACTTGATTTTATGGATGACATTCTGCGAAGACCCCCCCCCCCCAAAGAAAACTAGTGCGCACGGGCGAATAAAAAGTTTCCAGCCAGAAAAAAAAGTTGCTAAACCACAAGAATACAAAGCTGCGATTGTAAATTTGCGGTAGTGCATATCGACTTTACAAGCCGGCAGATGCTGGATTTTTTCGGCATTTTTGAGTCGGCACTGTACTGAATTCTTGAGTTCCGTGGAGCATCGCCAGCCTGGGTGCTGTCCCCGATCCATAGTTACCCTACTGTGGACTACGGATGATGGCACCCAGGCCAGAGCATCGGAGGAGGTGACTTTTTTTTTAGAAAAGGCGAAAATAAATGCGCTCATGGATGCCATCCATAAAATTAAATTAGTGTGGCCTAACATAAGTAAAGTAGAGAGATGCTGGTTAAAAAAAAGTTTAGGAAAAGACTTACCACTAGCGCCAGCGATAAAAAAGAGCACCAGCCACAGCATGATGAAGTCTTACTCAACTACAGAAAAGGTGAAGACCGCTGGTGCCGCCACACTGGGATTTATAGGTGAAGATCGAGGTGGGAGGAGCCTTTGATGTGCGTCAGTACGGAAGTTTGTGATGTTTGATCAAATGCTATAAACGTAACGAACATCAACAGAGTATTTGTTTTAACATCAGACATCCTCTCGGCCGATGATAACTACTGACCATGGACACACCTGCTTTCTCCTACAGTGGGCACACATGGGGGTTTTGAAGTTCACACGTCGGTTTTTTTTCCCACACGGCAGAAGAATCTATATTATCCCTATTTTCATCGATTTATGTTTTTAGATTTAAGGTATACATTCGTCAAAAATTGAATTATGAAGGCGACTTGAGTGAGATTTTGGGGGTGATGTCAGAAGTTCACGGGCACTTGAAAACTCCAATATACCCTTTGAAAAACACCACAGGACAACGGCTGATCTCGTGTCACAGCTTCGATAAATTCACTGACGTCAGAAGTCAATTAGAGGTCAAGAACTCTGAATGTGGTAGTTTAAAAACATCCATAACATGTTTCTGAAGTCCACGTATTATATAATCTTAAACTCCTCTTCGTGATGTATTGATTCAAAGTATATTGTTTGTAGGTTCTTGTTTGTCTCTGTCAGTGTGTGGTAAACATTCGACATCAAATATAAAATATACGACATAATAATACATTGAGTAAAATACATATTCAAAAGCTACAAACGAAGCTTAATCGGCTGTTGTACGACATTTGATGCCTTTCCTCGATAGTCATTCCTTCTGCAATTCTAACTCAAGTCCATCTCTGTAACGAAGTATTTTTTATCATTCACCCTGTATCAAGCCCACCACTTGAACATAGGTGACGTTTTTAATGAAACAATTGACGTATTTCATGTTTCAAATATTTGATTATTTCAGACAATTGTCGTCACCAATGTCACATGCTCTTCTCATGAGTTCAGGTAAGTGAACGTACTCAGAGTTCAGCAGAACTAAAGGGCGTTATCTTTCCAAGGGCTTTTCCATAGGCATATATATCTCATCAAGCTAGCAATAGATTTGCACGTTTCTTACTGCTATAATAAGTTTGTTGGTAGGTTATGGGCTTTGAAAATTAAGTGCTTCAAAAACAGATCCGTTTGAGATAATCCCGTGATATCTTGTATTATAAATCGTCGTTTATTTGTGTAATATGAGGCGTATGATGTAACTGTGACTGAACATGGAAAATTATTATTTTTTTTTGTTAAGAATAATTATTTTCCGTCATTTTTATCAGGGTTGCCCAATTCAGCGGTTAAACTGCTTCATTTTTTGAGTCTTCTCGACTTTGACAACATGCATGAAAATATGACATGTACAATCTGAAAATATGATATGGCTAATCGTTGCAGCTTGTTAGGCCTCTTAATATTAGTATTTTTGATGATTTCATTGTGTCATTATATCTTCTTCCAAGCAGAAGGATATGGATTGATGATCTATTAGGGTTGTTGCTTGAAGCCTTCCTACTAACACAGCACATTTTTATACAAGGTCGTTCGTTCTTAAAATACCCACCAATGTTTTACTTGCTATCTGTGCCAAGGATCTTTAATGCTTACGCACTGACGTCTATTTAATGTCGCAAAATAGAATTCTTATTATAGATTTTTTTGTCTCGTTGTGCACTGATAACCCGATTCCAACTCGTGATGTGTAATCCCTATAAGATGGTCAATAAAGGAATTGTCAAAAATGTGGGCATGGCCGGTCATCGCGCTACAGCTCAATGGTACTGTATGGCTGGTTATTTCCTCTGGCAAATTAGCAAAATTACTTTTTTTTCCAACAATCCACGGAGTCTGGACGAGGCTTTAAAATAACTCTCCAAGCAGAGGTTTGGGCTTCGGCTCATTTTTTACTTGTTTTAGGCGTTTTTATCCGGCTTTAATTTTTGTCCTGGTATCTTTTTACACACCATTCCAGCATTTTTCGTGGCAACGCGATACAAAGTCTTTGCCTTACGCATGGTGTAGAGTGCTGGCTTATTTAGCACACCATAAATTTACTTAGACTTTACGGTAGATCAAATGGCAAACGTGCTGGATTTTAGTTTATTTTAATTCTAGGCTGAGAGATAGGGAGGGGTAGCTAAGCTTTGGTCCACAAACTGGGATTGAGGATCATTTTGCCCAACCTTAAGTCGTTTTAAACGTAATTCATGAGTCGTATTTTGTTGTTTTCTTTGAGAAATGTATAAAGACATTTTTTGTATTTTCTTGTTTTATTGAAGCACTACACATAAAAAACTAAAAAAAGCTAACGATGTCAGAAAAGAACAAGAAGCAGTTACTGTAATGCTTTAAGTACCAGAGCCAAAAACTAAGAGAAAGCATTCTATATCACCAAAATGTATGGAATTGTATAATTTCATGAAGCCCAGTATTTCATCAAACATTGTTTTAGGTGCCGACTGTCTTTCGTCTCCTATTTGCGGAGAGGACGAAAAGAGACACGAAAGCTAAGGCAGGTTTGGAATTGTACACCAGGCTAAAGTCTATATTTACCTATAGGCTTATTTACAATAGTTTGCCATTCCCTAACACGTAAAACAATACCCCACTAATGTCTCCTAATTGTTAAGCCATTATATCGTACTTATACTTACTAGAAATCTGTAGAAATGAAATCGTAGTAAAGCCTTAACACGGAAGATACTCCATCACTGTATCTGATGTTACGTCTACTCTTCACCAACAAAACAATAGCTTACACTTAATCTTCTTGTACAATAATTACTATGGATACTTGAAAACTTAGTTTTATACCATAAATTTAAATCCCACATTTTACACCGTAAAAATATTATTCACCTAGTAACGTTACATAATGAGACGTCACCATCAATACTAGTACAGCGTGTTTGCATATGGCGACGTAACGTCACAGGCGCCATGTTGGTTGGTTAACTTGATGACTCATAGATGTAAATTTGCATTTTGTTTGCCATGGCTATAATCACACCTGTAGATATTAACCCTTAAATTTTATATAAACTTATATCACGACGATTGTACATGGTACAATGTATGGTAACAACTTGTTACTAACAACTATTAAGCATAGTAAAAAAGAGGCGTAGAATAAAGCTTAGCATCGCCAAAAAGCAGTTACTCAAGCAACTGGATATGCTTTCAAAATCATATCCAGTTGCTTGAGTAACTGCTTTTTGGCGTATCGTATTACCTGGATGTCACCTTCATCGACGTAAAGCTTAGCATCCTTTTTAAAATAAATATGGGGTTAGCACTAGTCTTAGATATGATGTTACAATCGAGTCCCTTCGAAATCTGATGTGCTTTATTTGAGAAATGTGAATAGCTTACTACGTAAAACATCTAAAGCATTCAATGACAAAATGAAATTCAGGTGCAGATCTAGCCTGATGAGTTGATTTTCTGGTTGATCCAGCCGAGGAAGGCGCTGACGCGGGTGTAAACCCCGGGGTATCCTGGGATGGCGCAGCCCTCCCCCCAGCTGGTCACGCCGTCCAGTACCCAGGTGCCTCTGCGGGAACACACCAGGGGTCCACCGGAGTCACCCTGCAACCACAGCGTAACATTTACCAACAGTTATCCATGTATCGCACCATCCATGATCGCACCATATATTTCTAATTGTGGGGTTGTGTGGCACAGTAGGTACCGCGTTCGGCTCACACCCAAGAGCTCGCGGGCTCAATCCTGCGACGATTTTCCTCACTTCACTTCACTTTCCTCACTACACTTTCCTCACCTCACACGGTTTTCGTCACTTCACTCGGGTGGACATTACTACCTAGCTTCGGTTAGGGACGTCCCTCGGATAGGACGTTAAATGGAGGTCCCGTGTTTGGAAACAGCCACACCCCACGCACGTTAAAGAACCCACCACACCTTTCGAAAAGGAGTAGGGGCATGCCCCGTTGTGCGATGGTACAAATTCTACATGGTGACCTTCTCCCCACGTTGACCTGAAAGTAAAAACCATCGCCGTACCTGACAAGTGTCATGGCCTCCTTCTGGGTAACCTGCGCACATCATGAATCGAGTTACCGGACGGGTGCTGCCGTAGGTGTTTCTACAGGCCTCATGCCTGACCACCGGCACGCGAGCTTGCTTCAAAATGTTGGCATCTCCAGTACCTGCAAGGCAGTGCATTCTCTATAATACTACTGAATCTATTCTACTCGTATTATATCAAACACGAACGTCGACACCTCAGTTGTGGCAACCCGAATTATCAAACTATTAATATCGGTATAGTCTGGACTGGCAAGAAATGTGCCCTGGGGTATACCATAATTTCGAGTTGCGCGAAAAAGTTCTTCAAAGGTCGTACGATGTTTCCATGATATCGGAGTATTTTCAATCAGGCTGAGACGGGCCAAACTGCTCACAAGGATCTAATGCTGCTTCTTCGATAACAAGACAGCTAGATGCCGTACGACTCTTGCACTACTATGTCAAAGATGCCCTTAGTTTGCGTAAGATAGGTTATGTTAAGTTAAGTTTAAGTTGCTTCCCGCATCACGTGACGCATACACAGCAGCGCAATCACCAAGGCAGCTGCAGGGGGCTAGTCTACTGGTAGTGTTGTGTGTTTACCTACCATACTTTTCCCTAAATGCTGAGTGCCAAGCAAAGAAAGCAGCACGTTCCAATGTGAAATAAATTCTTTAGTATGACTCGGCCGAGGATCGAACTCAGAATCTACCAAATGCAAGGCGAGCACTTTACCCACTTGGCCATTGCACCGGTGCAAAAAGCATTTTCGGGAATTTTCAGGATGCCTTACCCTGGGTGTCTCCCCACCCTGTGATGACACACGTGGTTCCCGCTGCAGGTTCGTCCTCTGCGCCGTCCGGCAGACATGCTGTCCTGACGTACTGGTTCAGGGTGGCCGGTTGGTTAAGCTTCAACAGGGCGATGTCCCTGTTGGGCACCGGAGAGGACTGGTACTGCTCGTGAATGATCACCTAAAAAATAGAAATAAAAATAAAACAGGGTGACTGCTACGAACATCAAGCGGGGACAGCAAGGCACGATTTGGGAGCATACACATAACTCACAGACACACACGCGCGCGCGCACGCGCACACACACACACACATACACACAAACACACACACACACACACACACACACACACACACACACACACTATAAGCTTATCATTAAACGGTAAGAGAAAGGAAAAGAGATATAGTAAGAGGATAAGGCTTTCCATGGCAATTGTGAGGATTACGATATATATCCGTGAGCAGTGGATCATAGGTTGCAGAAAGTCTGTACACCCACCCCACCCCCACCCCGTCTCTGCAACCTATGATCCACCGAATTGCTCATTCCTTGACAAAGACCGGAGTTGTACAGTCGAAAATTTGGGTAAGTCTGTAAATTTTGTATGTTGGAAATTACAGTTCAAACTTGTTTCATAGTAAGTAATATGTAAGACGCATTACCTGCTCGAGACTGAAACGTTGCTCGGTGCTGTCACTGATACCGATTTTGTGGTGCATGCCTAGGACGACAGTATAACGACTCGGGTTCGGACTGAAAGAGAACAAATGTTAGTCAGATCACTGCACTTTCCACCCTGTGCTGTTCCCAAAAGCTAGTTATTTCTGCTATTCCCTACATATTGAATTTGATTACTCGAGAGATCTACACACAAAGCAAGAAGCGAGCGTGCACTTCATCTTAAAATGATAGCATAAATAGAGGTAAAAAATCTTAGCCCTTCGTGGTTTATTCTTTTTGTTGTTTTTTTAAACAGTACAGTGATTTGTTTTGTCGTGCGTGTGCCATGTAATGTATTGTATTGTTGTAGATGGTTCGGCTCAAAGCAACCTTTAACGGTATGTGGATGTAGTAGCACTCGGTATCTACCATAGGTAACTGATGACGCCCCTCCCCCTGCTCCAAACCTTACTGCCTGTACAATGTATATCTAAGTGTGCCCTTACTTGTCGTCCACACAGTGTGCAGCAGTGACGACCCACTGTGGACTGACGAGCGTCCCGCCGCAGCGGTGGCCAGAGGACGTCTGGAGGGATGCCTGCCAGGGCCAGCTGCTGGACACGGCACCTTCCCCGCCCACGATCCGGTTCAGCGGCGGGAACACAGGGTGGATGGGCTGAGCTCCGCAGGATGACTCCGGGTTAACTAACAAGACACATTTGTGGTAAGATATCCAGGCAGGACATTACATGATACAAAATAAACGACAAAACAGCGAACGCACAAGGAGTTGCACAAGTTCAAAATCCGCGCACACCGCATTGCATCAAATCTTGTTTGTTCACCGTTCTTGTTTGTTCGTTTGTTTTGTTAGTTGATTAAATTTTTTCAAAATATTTCATAACAGCTGTGGCAAATGCAGCTATAGTGGTTGGCATAATCTTATTCTCGCTTTATTAGGATTCAAACGTACACTTTGTTGTGTCAGTGACAATTTGAAACTACTTTAAGAAAATCAAAGTGGTAATCTCTTGTTCAGAAACAATCTTGGTTTTGGCGACGCCTCAGGGGTGTTTTGGACTAAACTTACTGCATCCAAACTCGTCACTTCCGTCTGAACAGTCGTTATTTCCGTCGCACGTTGTCTCATTGCTGACACAGGTTCCATCAAAGCAGGTGAAGTCGGAGGGGGAACACGTCGCTGTTTCGAACAGAAGGTCAAAAGTACAAATATGACAAACGTCGATATCGTAAATCATGGCAAGAAATTTTGTGTCGCAAAGTATTAGCGTTATGTTTGTGAACTCAAGACGTACGTTAACATGAAACTGATGCTGATGCCAAGTAGGAAATGTTAACTCACGTGGAGGGTCCTCAGCGCTGTAGGTCGCAGAAAAGCCAGACCGAGTCACTGACCCGTCCGACGTGAAGAGCAGGAATGCGTCACTTCCGCTCGTGGCAAGCTCGCGAGAGCTCGAACCACATAACCTCTTGACAAGAGTAGCATTTCGGTTTGTTCCATCATGTAAGGCCAGAGAATCATAGCCGCATCCAGGCCCCGCTTCCAAATTAAACGATGAAAACCTGTGAGCAAAACAGATAATACGTCGAATACTTTAAAACGTCCCCACGAACGTATGCAGCCCTGAGTAAGTAAGTGAATGCAGCAGTGAGTGATTGAGTGAGTAAGTTACATCTTCCTTTCTGATATCAATGTGCAATGAAAAGCAGGCCAATTCGAATTTTTCGTGGATGAACAAAGGATCAAAGTTTTACCTGATGACGACGATTTTTCCCGGCGTAACAGAGATGGTCCAAGAGCACCTCGCGCCGTTTGGGTAGCTGCTCGGGTATTGTGGAGAGGTGAAGGAGCCCGAGTCACCCGGCAGGGCTATTGGGTTTCCACAGGATCCCGATCCCGACGGAGGGCGAGTAGTGGGAGTAGGAGGGAGGGTCGCTAAGAGGAGGAACATCTGTGTTAACAACGGTTACGACTGGAGTTAACGTAACACAATAGACATCAAAACAACTGGATAAATATTTTAAGTCAGACGTTTCAGACAGCAGCAATCCATGTTCGACCAAAGGTTACGTCTCACTAGCTGTTGTTTGGCAAGTTGTTCAACTCTGATAAAACGAGCGCCTGTACCTGATGGGTCAACCTCTCTGAACCTTGCAAGAAATCCAGTGTTGATAACGGAGCCGTCGGATCGGAACACAACGCGTATTCCATTGGTGGTCGAGACGTAGCTAGGCGCGTTACTACCACAACCGCTTGCTGTATAATATAACAATATTACAAAGAAAAAAACATTAACCAACCGGCAGCGCATGTCAATCACATGTGACAGTTATCTTTAAAAAACATGTAAAATAAGTCAAAATGTAAAATATAACAGCAGTGCAAACTCAAGATGACAGGGCTATTACATTAAACATGAATGTGTTTTTAGAAAGTATGAGTACATCAAAATGCACTCAGCAATGCAATCCTTCTCACCGACTTCTTGTCCACTCTCATAGACGGTGACTTTGTCGTAAGGACATCTCTCCAGGGAAAAAGCGTCAAAGGTCAGCTGGATGACCTTGGTGTCTCGGACGAAAATGTTCCACTGGCAGTTGGCGTTGTTAGAGTACGCGCTGGGGTAGTTCATCGACGCAAAGGAGCCGGACACACCCCGTAGGAAGCTTGGACTGCCACACCCAGACTCTAAACACACATCAGAGATTCGTACGTGATCTGGTCCTATATACAAGCACATTCAGGACCCCACCCCGAAAAGTTGCCCCCGAACAACCTGACGTTCGACAGCATTCTGGTCAGGTGTATCCCACACCTATCTTTCTTTACAAATTGAAACGAATTTGAGTTAAATTCAAGTCAAATTTTACCCCAAAAGACGTCCGAACGCAACTGCAACTCTTCTCAAATCTTATCAACACTTTTGTAGTGTCACAACGGTGAAATAACTAAACTCAGGGATAGACGAGATGAGATAAAAGAGTGACGGAATACTCACGACACGTAATGGACGCCTCGTCACTTCCGTCACCGCAGTCGTCATTTGCGTCACACCTCACACCGTGGCTGACGCAGTTTCCGTTCTCACACGTGAACAGGTCGGGACTGCAGGTTTGTACTGGAGCTGGAAAGTCGTTGGAGATACATGTACACAAAATATTCACTCTACATCGTGTAGTTCAAAATAGCCTTCTCTGGTGCAGCTCTAAAATGAATTGCTAGCAATGAGCAGCATTCAAGGCCATGGCCAGCATAATGTGGACTTCCTATTAAAGCTTATGGCTGTCGACAGAGACTCCGATCAGGATCTCTACCAATAGATCCTGCCAGATTGCAATCATCTCTACCCTGACATACATGTATGGATGTGCATTGCAAGGGATGTGGTACGGGATAGGTTTGACTGTATGTATGTAAGTAATGAATACTTACCAGGCGGATCCTCGGCGCGGAAGGATGCGCTGAAACCGGGTTTAGTGACGGACCCGTCGGTGGTGAAGAAGACGAATGCGTCACTTCCGGTAGTTAGGACCCGGTCGGCACTGTTGCCGCACAGTCTCGCCTTCACCGGGAAGGCGGCGGTGGAACCGTCGTGCACAACCACGGCGTCATAACCACACCGATGGTGAGGTTCGATGTCCATGGCAGAAAAGCTGCGAAGAAAATTTGAAAAAAAAGATGACGGTGGACGATAAAAGCCATGGCCAACTTTTTACTTCATCATTAGAAGGCGAAAACAAGAGGTGAGTAGTACAGTCTGTTAACAGTCGGGAATCGAAACCACGCCCAACCCGGGAAGCCAGCGTTGCTAACCGCTAGGCCAAAAGGTCCCATCCTATTAGACTGAATAGCAGTTATTAGTGTTGCTTAAACTTCACTGTTACAAGACGATCGCTGGGCGACCGTTGGGCGACTAAAATTGCATGTCCTCAGCTACTGACGTCACTTGGTCACGTGACCAATAGGTTAAGAGGTCAACCAAGGTCACATGAAGTATATTTATATTTACGACACAACAAACGTGCTGGGTTTTCTCACCTGATGGCAACGACTTTCCCAGGAGAGACCGATATCTTCCAGGAACACCGTTGGTTGTTGAGATAGTTGCTGGGATATCCCGGACTCGTGAAGGAACCAGAGTCTCCAGACAACACAGTCGGGTTTCCACAGGCAGGCTCCCCTGGAAACAAATTTGGGACATTTTTGTAATAATCACACATACATTTCTACACCCTGCAAGAGAGAATATCGTCCTGAGATATTTTGCAAAATTTTTGTCAATGATACATTTTATATTATATTACATAACATAACATAGCATAACATAACATAACATAACATAACATAACATAACATAACATAACATAACATAACATGATACATGATATAATATTATATAAATTACTAGAGACAGAGTATGCAGTAGGAAAAAAAACAACCCTTATATGGGTCATGGTATCAGTAGGGACATTTATAGTAAACTTCTTTTATTCTATAGACTCCTATGGTGGTGTACTTCACACATTACTACAGTCACTGTGACTTGCTGGTGGAAACAACTTACTCTCACAGACGAGGTCTGTCCCACTCCAGGCCCCGCCCCTACACGTCCTTGTGCTGTCGCCGCCATCACTCGTGAATCCCGAGCTGCACGCGTAGGTGCAGGTCTCCTCCGCATCGTAAGGGGGCGTACAGCCGGTAACGACAGTGTGAGCTACAGTAGGTCTGCTGGGACAGCGATTACCTGCAAAATGGTGTTTCTGTTTTGACTTGTTTTGAAAACTTAGAAACTTTCCCTTTAAATCGTTAACATAAATGTATAACTAATACACTGAGCCATGCACAGTATCTTCAAAAACACCAGGCTTTATTATTCTGTCTCTCTATGTGTTCATCTCTTTAAGAAGGTTGACTGGGAAAGTCCATCATACGCTGAAAGTAGATGGGCGCGTTTTTAATCCCGAAGGGCATCCGGTTAAACTCAAAGTGCCCGTAAGCTGTCTGAATCGCTGAACCTCCTAGCCCCTGCTGACAGCGGCATCTGGAAGAAGCCTTTTCTCATGCCGATAACCGACATCACGGTGCGTGGATCATGTTGATGGCAGTGTCATTGTCAATCTGTGGCTACAAAACCTCACCCCCCCCCCTTCCACACCGAAAACCATCCCTAAGTACATGTACGGGAGATACTAAACAACTCACGGTTGCAGATGAGGTTTCTGCCACTCCAACGTCTGTTTACGCACGTCCTAGTGGCATCCCCTCCGCCTGCGATGAATCCAGCATTACATCGATAGGTGCAAGTTTCTCCAGCAGTGTATGTAGGTGCGCATCCGGTGACGCTAGTGTTGGGTACGGTAGGCCTGCTTCTGCATGGGCGGCCTATAGACAACGGGGGGTTTACGTCAATGAAGGTTAGACATCGTGGTAGATAGAACATTCCATATTACAAACTAAGCAACAGGATAGATTCTCTGAAGATTCAGAGATTTTAGATAGCAATCGCTAGCTTTTATCAGTGACTGAGAATGACTGAGACCTCTCGGTCGCTATACTGATGAATGGTGGTGTATTCGTTCACGTTGTGCTCAGCAAAAGTTTTGTCGCTGTAACAGCTTGAAAACGTTCAAAGGCTTCAACACACGCATAGCACAGTTGCAAGATAAATACAATATGGCTTCTGACTGACCGATCAAGTCACTAGTACAAGGTCATCAGCGTCTCTGTTTATTTTTTAGCAGGTGTAGGGGGTATGGCCTGTTTTCATGCATCCCTGTGGACATGTGAGTATTCATTCATGTAAGTTAATAGTACCCGGGTATGGAGACCTTTTTAGAAATATTCTGTAGTGTCTAGAAAGATTCAAACTTACATTGACAGACCAGCCGACTTCCTACCCATCTCGGGTGCCCCCTCCTGAGCCTACAGTGGAGGGTTGTACGTCCCCTCCGTCTCTGGCACCCTGGCCGGCACGCAAAGTTGCATGTTTCGCGGACATAAAACGGCGGCGCACATCCGCTACGAATGGCGTTGCTGATGCTGATTTCACCACAAGTTCCTGGTGGGGTTTATCATAACGTGAATAAATGTCAATGAATGCATGGATTGCTAAATCGGAGGGTCAAACCGCGCCTTTTTACAATGTGACAAAATGTTGCGATTGAAATGTTTTGATTCGAGCAAGGTACACGCATTACACATTTGTAACAAGGGTGAATGAAATACCATAGATAGACAAACATTCAATGAGAAATGCTTACATAGGATGGAAATACAAAATTATAAAGTCTGCAGTAAATGTTGGTCAGTTCGCCAGTAATTCGTTTATGACTGCAAAGAATATTACTACTAGAACGACGCGCAAAATGTTCAAAATAACTGAATGAGTGCGAACTCACGTTGTGTGTACGATAACTCAATTGAAGTCAGTGTAGCCAGGATGAGGAGAACATGGCATGCCCTACAACACAAACAAGAATTATAGTCACAGAGATCTCGCACCTCATTAGATATGTAGAATTTTTGTAAACGTTCTTACTTGTCTCATTGATTCTGTACGTAAGATTGCATTTAGCAAAAGGTCTATCACATATTTACCCTCTGGTAACAAAATGTGCTAGCACCCCCTTTAACCCATTTTTTTACCAAAAGGTCTATCACATATTTACCTTCTGGTAACAAAATGTGCTAGCACCCCCTTTAACCCATTTTTTTACCAAAAGATCTATCACATATTTACCTTCTGGTAAAAAAATGTGCTAGCACCCCCTTTAACCCATTTTTTTTACCAAAAGGTCTATCACATATTTACCTTCTGGTAACAAAATGTGCTAGCACCCCCTTTAATCCATTTTTTTTACCAAAAGGTCTATCACATACATCAAAGGACAAAAATATATCCTTTCTACAAAATGGCGTTGTTCAAACCCCACCCAGTATTGAGACATTTCCGGGGCAAAGGTTTCATTGGTGATAAATCCATAGAAACCAAACAGACATCGCGCCATCCCGACCTGGCACCAACCCACTAAAACTATTTTTAGATAGACGCGACGTCACCGGTGTAGGTGTGTTTCGTTAGTAATACGTTCCTGTGCCAGAAGTAACAATAGCAGGCGTTCGATTGACCCATCGGATGAGTTATATATAGAACCTCATGACAAATCTATGACAGATAGGGAGACCACCAATTTAGACCATTTTGGTAATGGCATAGATACATACGACAAACTGCAGATTGCGCCATGCACAAAGTATCAGACTACCTTGATTTTTGGGGTTTCAACAAGCAATACACTAGTATCTAGGACAAGGAAGCGACGCCATGTTTTGCTAAGACTTGGCGGAAGTGATACATATCCGCATTGTGGAATGTACCAAATACTTAGTTCATAATACTACAAATGTTATCAAATCTATGACAAAACCAGACAGTTGTCAATACGACAGTTTCGCGGGAACATTCAGTATAAGGTTGGTCACCTTCAAATATTCGTCGGACGAGTTTTGTTCTTGTGGGTTCTTATCAAGGCTACGAGTAAAGCATTAATTAACATGTATCTATGACAGGACAGCCTTTACAGTCACAAGACAACAGAACTTTGCACGACAGGTCTTCAACTATCCCAAGGATGTTATCATTTATGAGAATGATTTCATTAGGTTGGTGAATGATTGAATACCAAAGTTCTTTGTTCACAACCACTTGGCACATGCATACAAGACATTAAGTGATGTATGTGACCTACTAAAATATTATTTTACAGTGTAGGTGTGTTTTGTTCAGTTCCCAGGGGTGACAGTCAGGAAGGACATTCTATCTGCAGTCAGCTAACAATGGCGGTCGTTCGACCCATCGGGTGAGTTATATATAGAACCTTAGCTTTGGTTTTTCCTTTCGGTAGAGAGATCATCAATTTAGAAAACATCGCTCGATAACGGCCTTGACATATACGACAAAGAGCAGATGGCACCACAAAATATCAGACTATCTTGATTTTATTCCACCAACAGGACACTAGTAAGAAGTCGCTAGGACAAGGAAACGACGCCATTTTTTTGTTAAGACTTGGCGGAAGTGTTACATATCCCAATTGTCCAAGTATCAAATACTGTAAATGATTAAATAACCACTTGTGTAACAAGACCCTCTTGTTAAACAAGTCGTTGTGAATAAAGAACTTTGCTATTTAATGTTCTCCATTGTAAAACGTACCTACGTGACGTATGTGACCAGACACAACCACGGTTCGTTCATTCTGACAAACAGGCGTGATTAAAATGCCATGTTTTCGTCAGATATATTCATACATAAAATTTTTGAAGAATGCTAATATGTATCAACACTCTGCTATTGTTGTCTGGTCTAGCGTATGGAACGAAATGAAGCCATGCCGCTGTTTCGACACCAACCAACAGACGATACGGTTGACGACCTTTAAAAATGCAGTTGAAGAACATTATTCACGCTCAAATCCCCCCTCAAAAACAGTACACACATTTTGGGGACTTATCAGTTGGCCTATACAATTTCTACAATTCACTTTCTTAGGCTGAATAATGTAAGAAACCTACCTCATCTTGACAGTGTGTTCGTAAGCGTGTGTGTCTTTCAGTAGAGTCAAGGAGAGTACTTCCTCCTGACGAGAGACACTTTCTCACTACTGGTGTCTCCGCACGTACTGGGGTTATAAGGTGCGGGTGACCCCAGGTTTAATGTCACCTTCTATCATGCAGATTTTCCGATCATATAGCCGGAAGGTAAAGAGGGCAAGGACGATTGTATTGTCAGGTAAGACTCTTGAGATTACGAAAATTGTATCCCTCTACACAAACACAACTACAACACTTATCTAAGCTTTTTTTATACAGATTTTGGAGTTTTCAGAGAATGCATTTAATAACACAACGAGAATCTGAGTATTTGCGAGATCCCCGTCGTGGTTTGGTTGGTACTACCATCAATAGCTCGAGAGAACCGGTTTTGTGGGCTACTTCATGTCGTGTTGTAATTATAAGTCTGACTCATGTTTTTGTATTACTAAGTCACTGAAGGACGTTTCTGGCACCCCTATCCGTTTCTCTGTATTTTCTGACAGGATTTCCGTGATATGTTTTTACGCACGAATTTGTAGAGTGACACGTTAGATTCAACGTTTTAAAAAGTGTCTCATTCACTAGAGGTTCTTGGAAGCTTCTTCATTCCATAAAGGAAAGAAGGACATCCGGGATTAAGACGTTTGCCCGTAAAATTCACAAAAGACTGGTAACAAAAGTTTTGTAATACTATGGATAAATTTCTGACTTAACATGAACATAAAAGGTACATGACCTAGGGTACAGAGGTCACAAGGTTTACCTACCCGGTGTGCACTGATGTGCCTCTTGGGTACGTGAATCGATGAAGCGTTGTGATTATCTTGACTAACTGGTACTGTGAACGAAAGCAACAAAAAGGGGTGGACACTCCATTGTGACAAATATGCCACAAGAAAAGTGAAGAGCGCGGTGCCATCCTTTCGTACTTAGACTTAGACATAAGTCCACCCGTGTCTTTCGTACCCAATCATGATACTAAATCATGATTCTTGGAAAAAGTTATCAGCTGCAGATTATTACGGAAAGCCACAGACACGGAGATTACACTTGTAAACCATACTTAGCTCCTACTCAGCGTGTTATCAAACAAGGCAAGTCCTGTTTTAACGACGTCTGCCATCGGTATCTGTATAGCCGGTATAGCCGCCCTCCGGCGTAACACACCAGCTTCACAGGCACACGGCCATTAATCTTATGGGGGATTTGATACCAAATGATACTGGCCTCCACCATTCTGTTACCTATATAGCCAGGTTGTAACACATGATACGTATGGAATAATTCATTGATGGAATACATGATTATCAATAGATAGGTGAGTAGTTTGTAAAACTCCGGAATAGCCTGGAGCCATTTTGATCAGAGATCTCCCAAAAGCCTTTTATTAATGATATCCTGTTTAAGGTACGTCAGGTTTATGACATGATGATGATGTTTACAATTGACATTAGGACAGTTTGAACAAGTCATGGAGTATGTTAAATTTTGTTTTCTTTAGATTATTACGGGATGTTGAAACAATGGTCAGGTTCACTGGAATCCAGTAACAAAACAATCTTTCATGTTCCAGACATGTCACTAGTCGTTCATATCCTTATTCACAAACTTAAGACATATACCGGTAGTCACATAGCGTGCTTTTTAAAGCGTTTTATTTTTTTTCAAATCTGGGTTAGCATACAATACGGCACATCGTCTAGTGTGCAGATATCCTTTGTTGGAGCCAGAATAAGTATGTAGGAATGCGTTAGCGCATTATTAATTAAACAAACAGAAATTGTGGATTAATTTTTGTCAAACCTCAAGTCGTTTATATAGTTGACTTAATTCATCAGTACGTATATATATATACTGCAATGTTTTGAAAAAAAATATTAAAATACAATTTTTGTCATATTAGTAATATTTTGTCAAACCCTAATACACATAAAATACACCAACGATGTCTTGTAATTGTTAAGCCCGTATTTAGTAGTGATCACTAGAAATCTGTAGAAATGAAATCTCCGTACAGCCTTAGCTGGGGTTAATAATTTTCCCTGTATCTGATGTAAAGCTAATCATCACCAACAACAATAACAAGAAAAACAAAACACACCAACTCTAACGTTTCTTGCTTCTTACTCTTAGCTTTACGATTCTTACCATGGGTACTTAAAATGTTAGTTGTATACCAAATGTGTACTCTCTTCATTTTACGACACCATAAAAAGACAATCCGTTGTTAAACATATATATAATATATAATTAACTATGATAATTATATACATAGTGAACGTTGTATAATAACGTTATATGATGAGGCCAATGACACAATATAGTGAGACGTTAGCATTATTATAATAACGTGTTTGCACGTCACGTGACGTAACAGGCTGGCGCCATGATGGTTGGTTAAATTTGAAAGACTCTGAGAGCTATAAATTTGCACGGGTACATTTTGTTTGTGCATAACAATAATCACACATACACATTCAAGGTAACCTGGCAACTTCCCAGTTTAGCCATGCATCTACCATGGAGGAAAATGCATGTAATTGCAATTGAGTGACTGAACCACATTTGAAATAGTCAAGATCATACGGTATAGCGAACGAATTGCCAGCGGAGCTTAGGGCCTTGCCATATATAGAAAAGGTCCTGTCAGTCTGTTCTGAAAGATCAGGTGCAGATCTAGCGTGCTGCGTTGATCTTCTGGTCGATCCAGTCCAGGAAGGCGCTGACGCGGGTGTAAACCCCGGGGTATCCCGCGACGGCGCACCCCTCCCCCCAGCTGGTCACGCCGTCCAGTACCCAGGTGCCTCTGCGGGAACACACCAGCGGTCCACCGGAGTCACCCTGCAACCACAGCGTTACATTTTATTCACGGAGATACATACGGTATTACCCTCAGTTATCAATGTATCCATACCACATCCACTTGCACAACAGAATTTGTTACATCCCATGCTATAGATAAATTCATTCTGCAAGGAGGTAACCCTTCTGTGTATAAATAGCTAAATGCATCAAAGAATGTTTAGACCATAGAACAAGTAGTATATGTGATACGCCAAACTCAACATTTTCATTTATTCCTAGTCTGGTACGCTGGTTAATTCTTTTGTTTCGACATCCACGTGCATGCTTAGTTATAAACCTTAAGAAAGTTGCTGTACTTTTGTTGTGTGAAGAAAAGAAAGTAATTATATTACCTCTTTATATTACCACTCAAAACCTCAGTGTAATTGTGTAACTGTGTGCAATTATGGGGTCACGAGAGCATGTAAGTTTCCCATTTGTGCAAATAAGGTGCATTAAGTTAGGTATTATGATGACCTTCTCTGAAGTGCCATAATTGTACCTGACAAGTGTCGTGGCCTCCTTCTGGGTAGCCTGCACACATCATGTTTTCAGAAATCACGCTGCCCCTGCCGGAATAGGCATTGTTACAGTCCTGGCGGCTGACCACTGGCACGCGAGCTTGCTTCAAAATGTCGTCAAATCCAGTACCTGCAAGGCAGTGCATAATATTTAATACTAAGGAATCTGTGCTATATGAAACACATACTTCCAAACCATATTAAACAGGCCGGTTTAGTTTAGACTAGCAAGGCAGAGGTATAACAGAATCCCGCTCTAGCTCACTTGGTTGTTTTCTTCGGTGGTTACAGCAAATGGCAAGGCTTTATACACCTATATACACCTCGGCCGGGTCATTAACCCTTTTAAGGGCATTAAAATTCATGTATGCCCTGAGTTTCCGAGCACCAGTTCAGACTCCGACGCTCGGCTGAAAGGTCTAGACCCGTCGGCCGGGGCAGTTGGTAGAGCCTATGAACCCCCACTGTTACACTTACCCTGGGTGTCTCCCCACCCTGTGATGACACACGTGGTTCCCGCTGCAGGTTCGTCCTCTGACCCGTCCGGCAGACACGCTGTCCTCACGTACTGGTTCAGGGTGGCCGGTTGGTTCAGCTTCAACAGGGCGATATCCCTATTGGGAACCGGATAGGGGCGGTAGTTCTCGTGCATGATCACCTAAGGTAAATCAAAATAAGACATTAGATGAAGTTGCTATGCTCCCACATAGGCCATTGTGGTGTTTTGGATTGTTTGTAGGGAAACGTACATGTGGGGCCGATGACAATGACTTCCTGTGTAAGTTATGAGGACTATGTACAGTTGCATGGTAAGTAATATGGAAGAAAATTCTATACAAGAATATACCGCCGATTGCTGAAACATTATGGCAAGGGGGACTACGTTTTTCAGGCCACTGTTGGAGGAAAAGGGATGAGGTAGTACACAAACTGTTACTGCGGAACCCGAGTCATGGAAACAGCAGTCGTGAAAGACCACACTTGACTTACATTAAACAGCTAGAAGCTGACAGTGGAATGAACCTAAACCAATTGCAGAGATGGAAGACAGAGAGCAATGGAGAAGATTCCGAGCGAGCTCGACACACGCAGGATATGTTAGGCGCATTACCTGCTCGAGACTGAAAAGTTGCTTGGCACTGTCGCCGATACCGGAGTTGTGGTGCATGCCTAGGACGACAGTATAGCGTCCTGGGTTGGGACTAAAAAAAAAACAAACAAATATCACAGATTACTGCACCATAAGCCATGTAATGTTCCCATAAGATAAGCTATTCACGAAATTGTGTATTTCATCACTGCTCGTGAGACCTCCAGACGAAAACTTCGAAACCAAACGCACACTGCATTCATGTTTCTTGAAATGACTGCATAATAACTAGCCAAATGACTGACTGTTATAGCCGGCCATCAGCAGTGCCTTCCGTTCGTTACAATGATTTCTTCGCAGTACGTTGTTTGTGATCATCTATGATGATTCCCCATTACTTTATGTTCTTGTAATCTAAGTGTGCCCTTACTTGTCGTCCACACAGTGTGCAGCAGTGACGACCCACTGTGGGCTGACGAGCGTCCCGCCGCAGCGGTGGCCAGAGGACGTCTGGAGGGATGCCTGCCAGGGCCAGCTGCTGGACACGGCACCTTCCCCGCCCACGATCCGGTTCAGCGGCGGGAACACAGGGTGGATGGGCTGAGCTCCGCAGGATGACTCCGGGTTAACTAACAAGACACATTTGTGGTTGGATATTCAGTTAGTACGATGTAGAGTAATCAGAGCACCCAGACAATCTATGATGTCCCAGAGGAGGCATCAGGTATATCCCACAATGCATTGCCAGCTGTGGATCAAAGGTTATAGAGAATTCTGGGATACGCCTTATCCCGCCTCTGATGACGACCCATGACTTCTGGGAATTTATCCAGACGTGGTTAACTATGGTGTCTTGTCAAGTACTATTACAATGCAGCTTCCAACTCGCTTCTTAAGCCAAGCATAATGGGTCATCCCAACTTTCTTGCCTAACAAGACTTAAATATTGGATTATATATTTGTTTGTTTGTTTGTTAACATTATGCAAAATATTTTTAACAGTAGCAAACACCGTGATTAGTAATTTTAAGCTTGCTTGAATGGGATTCATTGTACGTAGACCTGAAAGCATCATGATGTGTCACTGCTCCAACAGATACAGGATATGCTTATATTGGCCTAAACTTACTGCACCCAAACTCGTCACTTCCGTCTGGACAGTCGTCACTTCCGTCGCATGTGACCCCGTTGCTGACACAGGTTCCATCAAAGCAGGTAAACTCGGAGGGGGAACACGTCGCTGTGAAAGATCAGGAATGCAAATATGGCAAATGTTAATATGAGAAATGCAATTTAGCCTCTGAGTCTGAGAGTCGCCGACTGTTTTTACATGTAAGTACTACTATATCAGTGGACAACAATTCAGTTTTTCAGCACTTGAGCGTAATATACTCTCTATTATTCTACTCGGTCCCGTAGCTGTGAGCCGTAGGGACAGGGTTTGTCAGACACAAACAATCATCACTTCTGGTGGTCATCTGCCATAATATACATCTATTCTTAAATCATGGTATTCAACTGTGTGCAGTTAACGTTGTTTTGGTGGAATCAAGACTTAAGTTAACATTAATATTAAAAAAAAACGTTACTTAGGCAACTAAAAATGTCGTATTAAATATTAGCTTCGGCTAGATTTTCCACCTCTGTGTCTTGTACCATGTCTTGTACTTTGTTGTTTGAATAAATAAATTAATAAAATGTCGTATCCAGTTGCTTGAGTAACTGTTTGGGGGCGTATCCTATTAACTGGATGTCTAACATTCACCGACTTAACATGAAATGAACATGCTGCTGTTGCTGAGTGGGAAATGTTACTCACGTGGTGGGTCCTCGGCGGCGTAGGTCGCAGAAAAGCCTGTCCGGGTCACTGACCCGTCCGACGTGAAGAGCAGGAATGCGTCACTTCCGCTCGTGGCAACCTCTCTCCAGTGAGCACCACACATCTTCTTGACAAGAGGAGCATTTCGGTCTGTTCCATCATGTAAGGCCAGGGAATCGTAGTTGCATCCTGTCCCTTCTTCCAAATTGAACGATGTAAACCTGTGGACAAGATAGATACCTTGAACGCCTAAACATAGGGCTATGAGTATCTACGAAATGTCACATGTGCAAGGATGGTAAAAAAAAATACAATTTTGATTTTAAAAATAGCCTTGACCTTCATATGGTACCTCAGTGTGCAGTTTAGCCAGGCGAACTGATGTACATCACGAAACTTATTTCAGTGCACACGTTATTCTTGAAATATCGTGTATGTCTATTTATCAGAACTATGTTCATGTGCTTGCAGTATTAAGAGTTCATGGAGTTGTTAGAACTTCAAGCATGTAACCTAGACCTATGTCTTATGATATATAATATGACTATTACCTCTCCCTTAAAATATCAATGAAAACACCCAGCTGGACGATTCGAGCTCCTCATAATTATTCACAGGGGCTCAAACGAAGTTTTACCTGATGACGATGATTTTTCCCGGGGTGACAGAGATGGTCCAGGAGCACCTCGCGCCGTTTGGGTAGCGGCTCGGGTATTGTGGAGAGGTGAAGGAGCCAGAGTCACCCGGCAGGGCGATTGGGTTTCCACAGGCTCCCGGCGAGGGACGTGTAGGGCCAGGAGGTGGGAGGGTCACTGTAGTGATAGGAGGAAACATCGGTGTTACTACTGGATTTTCCGCAAAGCAAAAGTAATTGGTAACCAGTTCCTCTGGTCTTCTTCAGTCTACCGAAGATGATCAGAGTGACCGGTCGAAATCTCTAGGTGATAGAATTTACCTTTGGTTCGATCGAAAGTTTTAACTTTAATTACTTTATCATAAAACGGCTGGGTAGTCAATTTAGCTAGAAGCTGCTCTTCAATGGGGCCCAGCATGCATTTACACATGATTACATTTAGTCAAGCAACAAAAACTGGACAATAGTCGAATAAAATCTGATGCGTCAAAAGAAAAGCATGACCATAAATCAAACTCAACTTTGATAAAACGATTTACCTGATGGGTCAACCTCTGCGAATGTTGCAAGAAATCCAGTGCTAACAACGGAGCCGTCGGATCGGAACAGAACGCGTATTCCATTGGTGGTCGAGACGTAGCTAGGCGCGCTACTACCACAACCGATTGCTGTAACAAATTAAAAACAACCAACCGGCAGCATAAGTCAACCAACGTTGGACAGCCTTGTTAAAAACCGGGTAAAATGAGGCAAATTTAAGCATATGTGAAATATTAAAACAGTACAAATTCAAGATTTGATCTGAACAAGACTTTTATTTTTTTTTGAAGGAATGACAATTTCAAAATATATGCAAGCATAACATATTCTTACCGACTTGTCGTCCACTCTCAAAGACGGTGACTTTGTCGTAAGAACAAGCCGGGGGAGTTCCCTCCAGGGAAAAGGCGTCAAAGGTCAACTGGATGACCTTTGAGTCTCGGACGAAAATGTTCCACTCGCAGTTGGCGCGGTTGGAGTACGCGCTGGGGTAGTTCATCGACTCGAAGGAGCCGGAGGCACCTCGTAGGAAGCTTGGACCACCACATCCCGACTCTGTTACAACACACATCAGATAAGAAATACGATCAGACTTTATAGTGCTTTACATCCAAACAGCTGTACGGATTCTTTTCGATCTTTCCTGTGGTTTTCAATTGTCCAACTCTCATTGGACGTCTTGCCTTATGCAACTTGAAAAAGAACAAAACGATACAAGAAACAGTCCAGGCAGGTAGAGAAAGACGGGTAATAAATAAAATTTGGCAGCTTTGAGACAAGAGGGTGATGTCAGAAAATTTACCGGCACAACAAAAAGTGAAACATTAGAAAGAACGGAAACCCGAGAAGGGTTAAGAAAGCTGGTTATCAGATCGCCTGTGGGGTCCCACCGGTCAAATGATTAGACTAAGCGATAGAGAAGATGAGGTGAAATGAGACGATATGAGAGAGTGCTGGAATACTCACGACACTGCTCTGACGCCTCGTCACTTCCGTCACCGCAGTCGTCATTTCCGTCACACCTCACACCGTGGCTGACGCAGTTTCCGTTCTCACACGTGAACAGGTCGGGACTGCAGGTTTGTACTGGAGCTGGAAAGAAGTTGTTGGAGACACACAAAATGGTAAAAGCGTTCACGGTACACAGTACAAAGAAGCTTCCCCTAATTCAGCTCTGTGGACAACTGCTGATAATGTGCATCATTGTGATGAAAATTATATTTGTTGATAATTAATATAAAACAAAATTATATATATAATACATATAAACTGAACACTATGGTATAACTGAACAGTGAGGTACCATATGAAGGTCTAGGCTATGTTTTTTTTATTAAATTTGTGTTTTACCATCCTCGGGCACATGTGACATTTCGTAGATGTGCACTCATAGCCCTATGCCAAGTTAGGCAGGACAGGTGGCCTGCTTGATGAGGTGGTCTCCTTGGCAGGTTAGACTGTATGTAAGTAATGAATACTTACTAGGCGGATCCACGGCACGGAAGGATGCGCTGAAACCGGATTTAGTGACGGACCCGTCAGATCTGAAGAACAGGAATGCGTCACTTCCGGTCGTGAGGACCTGGTCGGCACTGTTGCCGCACAGTTTGGCCAACTCCGGGAAGGCCGATGTCGAGCCGTCGTGCACATTTAGGTAATCATAATTACAGTGGTGATGAGATTCGATGTCCATGGCCTCAAAACTGCAAATAAAGTTAAGAAAAAGAGATAGCGATGATGAAAATCAAGTTTTATCCCCTCGCTATGGCCCTTAACTCATTTTTGTTGAGATAAAGTAAAAGGACTAAAACTGATTCTCACAATTTACGATCAAAGCAAAGAAGCTTTCAGACTGCATCCGCCATATTTCTTCAGCTACAGACGTCACATGGTCACGTGAACAAGAGGTTAAAATATCAACAAAGTTCACCATTTAGTAATACATTTATGATCACAATACGACAAACCGTGGATTATACAATATTCAGTTAAGTATTAGTGGTGGGTTTTCTCACCTGATGGCAACGACTTTCCCAGGAGAGACCGATATCCTCCAGGAACACCGTTGGTTGTTGAGATAGTTGCTGGGATATCCCGGACTCGTGAAGGAACCAGAGTCTCCAGACAACACAGTCGGGTTTCCACAGGCAGGCTCCCCTGGAAACAAATTTAGGAGAATGTTTCTACTACAAATACATTTGTTCACCCAGCAAGAGAAAACATCTTCAGCTATATTGCAACGTTGCATTTTTAGAGTTCGTTCATGAGATGAATGTCACGTTACAATTATTTTATTTCAACATCAGAAAAAACAGATACAACAAAAAATAACCCACATTATCTGGACCCCAATAAGTAATTATCTACTGAAAATTAAAGGAATATTCCACCAAACCCACCGTGACAATATATAAACCAACAAAACCAAAAACAGTACCCTTCCGCGGAAGGATATGTCTTTCCCCGAACTGTTTGTTTCTACAATTTCAACATGCTGAGAACATGAATATTTGCATTATCTTGCTTTACTTATTGCATGCCCCCCAATAGTTAATTTGTCTGGTGGAAACAACTTACTCTCGCAGACGAGGTCTGTCCCACTCCAGGCCCCGCCCCTACACGTCCTTGTGCTGTCGCCGTCTGCACTCGTGAATCCCGAGCTGCACGCGTAGGTGCAGGTCTCCTCCGCATCGTAAGGGGGCGTACAGCCGGTGACGTCTGTGTTAGCTACGGTAGGTCTGGTGGGGCACTGATCATCTGGAAAATTGTTACAATTATCGTTTCTGTTTACTCATCCTCGCCAACAATTAAAAATCAGGAGAATCTGAAAGAACCATAGATCAATATAACCCTAAGATCATGGAATGCAAACATGGACTTGCAATTCATTCTAAACGCATACTCCCTAAGATCATGGCATGCAAACATGGACTTGCAATTCATACCAGACACATACTCCTACATCATATACATGTGTACATTACTAGCTACAAGTTGAAAAGCGAAAGAGACATGAGCGATCTCATGAAGAAGGTGCTTGAGCAAAGCAGTGCCCATCAAACGACACGATGTGTGAATCTTGACCGGTAACGACATACGATTTAGCCAAGCGCAGTGTACATGGTTCCCATTGTCTCAAGCTTGAGGATGTACGACCATTCACAAAGTACAGGGCAAGACCCTAGTCAAACTTGTTGTTTCCATGGACAAACGTTCCCAAGATTTCAAAAGCTCCTTCATGTCTGGCCAAGCACACGTTGCTCTAAGCCGTGTGTGTCAGGAGCCTAAAACGCGCGCGCGCGCGCGAGCGCACACAAACAAACAAACAAACAAACAAACAAACAAACAAACAGAAAGCCCTACCTAAAGTACGTTTACCAGGAGATAATAAACAACTCACTATTAACGTTGCAGATCAGGTTACTTCCGCCCCATTGTCCGTTATCGCACATCCTTGTGGCATCCCCTCCGCCTGCGGTGAACCCCGCATTACATTGATAGGTGCAGGTTTCTCCAGCAGTGTATGGAGATGCACACCCGGTGACGCTAGTGTTGGGTACGGTAGGCCTGCTGCTGCATGAGTTGCCTAAACACAACGGCAGTTTACGTCGATGATTTGGGTTACACATTCACGTAGAACATTAAGAAATTCAAATAAATCAAGCAATCGATAAAAAAATTATCTGAAGAGTCAGGCGTTTGGGGTAGCAGTGAGAATGACTGCGAACTCTCAGTCACTAATGAGTGTTGCCACATTGTCGTTCTAAATGTCAAAAACAACGCTTTTATAATAGTACAGTTGCAATTTGATTTGATAATACAATATGGTATCTAGCGTCGCTGGCTGACCAAGTTACTAGTACAAGGTCATCAGTTCCTCTGTTTATTGTTTAGCAGGTCTTCAGTCTGGTCTGTGACCTGTTTCCATTCACCACTGAGGACATGTAAGTACAAAGTGCAGGGGTAAAAGCGACATTTTGAGCAATATTAGTGTCTAGAGGGATTCAGACTTACATGAACAGCTCAGTCGCCTTCCCACCCATTTCGGGCGGCCCCGTCTGATCCGGCAGGTTAGGGTTAAGCGTCCCGTCCGTCTCCGGCACCCTGGCCGGCACGTGAAGCGGCAGGTCTCACCCACTTCGAACGGCGCCTCACATTCGCTACGAATGGTGTCGGGTAAGTTGATTTCGCCACACGTTTCTGGGAGAGTTTATTGTAACGTTAATAAAGGGTTCATGCCCACCCCGAGGTTTATATGGTGAGATAGACCCTGGTCAGGTGCGATAACTACGGAATAATCCACCGAGTGAATATCTTTTTGATTGTGTTGTATGTTCAAATGAATAATCTAAAAAAAAACTACAATACGTTGTTTAATAGATAAATACTACAAGTCTTATCACTACTGTTAATGCCCTGTCCCTTGTATAATGGTATGTTTTGATTCAAGTAAATAATAATAGTACATGAAGATGTACAATTGTTACACATTTGTAACAAGGATAAATGAAATACCGTGGATAGACAATGATTCCACGAGGAACCGTTACAAACGATGAAAATACAAAATCAAATATGAAGGAAATGATGGTCAGTTCGTCAGCGTTTTTTTTTATGCATTTTGTTCACAACTACAAAGAATATTATAACTAGTATGACGTGCGAAATATCCATATTAGCTGAATGTGTGTGAACTTACCCTGTGTGTACGATAACTCAATTAAAGTCAGTGACGCCAAGATGAGGAGAACATGGCATGCCCTGTAATTACAACACGAATGATACCGATTAGATAATCTGTAAAATGTTAAGTGTCTACTGGTTTACAAGAAGGCACGATGTAATCAATGCAAATATCATGCGTAACAAGCATGTCGGAAGAACGTACTGCACCTGCGCGAAACCCGTAATGTATTGTGCATAGCACTTCGGCAGAACGTCTCATATAAGGTCGTATTAGCGCATATAAGGTTAACACTCCGTCAGTAGGTTTTAAATGTTATGTCGGAAAAAATATCCTCTGCAACAGGCAAAATTCTGATGCAACGATGACCAAACATCCAACAAAAAACGCGAAAATCCAGGGTTCTGCGCAGGCGCAGTACGTTCTGCCGACGTGCTTGCGTAACATGGTCATGAACTTTAACACGACTCAATAAGTGATATAATCCGACGTCAAATTTTATGGAATATATTTTTAATCTTTTTATCGGAATTGGACAGTAGAACTAGTACAGGTGGTTACGAAAGCAGAGACATATTTTTGACGCCACTTTCTGTATAAAGATAGATCGTTTTCTGACGCTCATCTAAATTCTTACGCTGATCAAAAGGCTTTTTTTTTATCTCTGTCAGCTGCAGCTCTAGCTCCGCATTAGCAGACGGACTGCCTAGACAGGACGCTGTCAGAGTTTTGCGCTCAGGAAAGAATTCACTTCACATTTAAATTACGGTATGAAGCGTTCTTAACACCGGGTCAGTTCTGAACAACGTCATTTTGGTAAAACGTTGGTCGAAAAGGTGTATTTTCTACCAAATGCCGTCGTTCAAATCCCACCCAGTATTTAGAACATGCATCTATGTTGGCACCGTGCCGTCATTTTCAAGTTAAATGAGTTCGATGGGGTTACTATAAGGTCGACTAAACTATATATAGCTATGTGCATATCAATCATGTCTTGACAAGTCACGACTCACGAGACACGAGAAATGTCGAAGAGTCGGTCGGCGAGTTGTCTTAACGTGCCGGTGACGTCAATCGTTGCCATGGAAATCAAATATGGCTGCCAGCCGGGTAACGAAGGAGGCGCAAAGTTAGCCCCTTTTGCAAACTTGTGGGGCGGCGGTGTTCCTTTTTTTCGGTGAGCTACGCGAGTTATGAAGAGACGGTTTTGCCGCCGAGGGAATTTGCCGGGTAGAGAGGGTTTCACCGCCCGACCGCTCTTCGCGGCAAACCCCCTCGGCGTCAAAACCGTCCCCCGGAAAAAAAGAAATTAACGCCGCCGCCCCACAAGTCTGCAAAGGAGGCTAGCCGCTAGCGTAAACTGATGTTGTCATGTAGCGGTTTTGCCTCCTAACATTGGCTTGTAAACTAGTCGCAAGGGATAGTATTATATACAACACATTTCTGACACAAAAATTGCTACATTAAGAAAAGGGAATGTATCAATTATGACGGGCGTGTCTACCGGAAACTAAAATGGCAGGATCGGCCGGACAGGATCTTAGTCATAAGTTGAAACAGGCAAGGTAAAAAATGTATATCTTTGGGGGAAAATAGATAACGTGTTACATTCACAACGCCCTAAAATGCTGAATATCCCTCTGGACGTGAGCTTGACATGATTCCAACAATATTCATAATAATCTTAATAGAGTTTTTGATGAAGCAGCAAACATAGTTTCCATTTTCCCGAACGCTTTAAATGTATTACCGTCCTAAGATCACTAAGATGAACCGAAACAAACCTAGTGTAGAAGGTAGTCCGCATGGTATCTTAAATGGCATTGAATCTTAAAACAGTTTCAACTCAACATAAGAAAAAGTAACTTTATCTAATGCTGATTCGATAAAGAAAGCATTTTGTCGAAATGAGCGAGATTTTGAAACTTGATTTTGATGAAAGCCTTTTTTTTTGGACAAAGTTTCCGTTAATAATAAACAACCCTTAATAGGCAAACTGATATCTCGCCATTACGACTCAATACCAGCCTAATATGCTAAAACATTAGGGAGACCACCGATTTATACCGTATTGTTCAGTAAGGGAAAATACCAGACCACCTTGATTTCTTCCACGAACAACACACTAGTGAGCTAGAAGTCGCTAGAACAAGGAAGTGATGCCATTTTTTGCCAAGACCTGGCGGAAGCATTACATATCCGCATTGTCCAATGTACCAAATACTTAAACATGTAGTTCAGGATACTACAAACGGTGTCAATGTTATCATGGGGTAATCTGAGTCACCGCCCAGGCAGATGTTAATACGGCAGATTCCACCATATACGATAAGAAAAAGTCTCGTGGGAACACTCGGTAAAGGCGCGGTCACATTCGTCGGACGAGTTTTGTTCTCGTTGGATCTTTATCATGACTACGACTAAATCAACGGACTGAGGTGCCACATAAGTGCGTTTGCCAATTTACCAACTACCTAGTCCAAAATACTATGAGCGGCGTCAATGTTATGAGAGGATAATCTATGACACTGCAGTTAACACGACGGATGTCACCATAGCAGAAAATGTCTCGTGGGAACACTCGTTATGCAAGGGTGCGACAAGATGTGTCGTACGGTATTATTCTCGTGAGATTTTTAACTAGGTAACATTGAAAATTGTCCATGACAACTTCTATTCCACCCACAAGACAATAGAAGTTTGTACAACCGATCCACGACTGTCTCAAGAATGTCCTTAATTTGTAAAGTATCTACGTGACGTATGTGACCAGGCAAAAAAAAAACAGAGTACGTTCGTTCTTACAACAAAGCGTGGTTAGAATGTCCTATCTTGTACTATGAGTAAAATGCTAGACTGAGACTGATAGTGTACATCAACACTCTGCTAGTGTTGTGCTGTGTAACAGATGGATAGTTAAGGCATGGTGCTGTGTCCCTGTTATAACACTAACCATCAAACCATACAGTCGACGACATTTGGAAATACAGTCGAATAACATATAAAGATCCCCTAAAACAGTGCACACATTTTGGTCTCTACTATATGCTTAGTTAGCCTGAATACGAAACTTACCTCATCTTGACAGTGTGTTCTCCAACAAGTGTCTTTCAGTAGAATCAATGAGAAAACGTCCTTCCGATGAGAGACACTTTCGCACTACTGGTGTCTTGGCGCGTACTGGGATTTTAAGGCGCGGGTGACCCCTATTTTAATTGGTGAGATGTCACCTTTTTATTATGCAGATTTGTCGACCATATAGCCCTAAGGGGAAAACGTTGTCACCTACGAATCTTGAGATATCCCCCGCACACACACACACATACACACACACACATACACAACACCTAACTAAGGTGTTTTATAGTTTGGAGTTTTCAACGTAAAGATTCAGTGACTCTACGTGAATCGCGAATAATTGCCAGATCCCTGTCGCGGTTTGGTTGGTACTAATGACTCGAGAGAACCGGTTTTGTGGGCTTCTTCACGCCGTGTTGTAATTACAACTCTAATTCCTGTTTTTGTAACCTAAATAAAGGCCGTTGACATTTGTTGTGCACCTGTTTCTGTATATTTTCTGTCAGGGTTTGTTTGATATGTTCGATCGCATGAATTTGTAGAGTGACGCGTTAGATTTAGCGTTCTCCATAGACCGTCCCATTCACTAGATATTTTGAAAGTTTATTTGTTCCATAAAAAGAAGAAGGTCATCCAGGATTTAGACGTTTTGCTCATGAAAAGGCCTCAACGTTGGGTATGCATATACATGTACGTACATCTGGAGCATAACATCTACATGACGACAGGGCTTGTACGTCACACAGGTTTGTCCATCTGCGTACAAACCTCTCGGGCACATGCCTCATTGAAGCGTATGTCGTCACGAGATAATTGTATGATTATCTTGTCTAACTGGCACTCGGAACGAAAACAAAAAGGAGGAAACGCAAAAGTAGGTCACTCCATATTGTGACATGAAGGAAACGATTTGAAGATCAGTCATCTGGAGATCCGAGTATGTACGCAGTACCATCTCCGAAGATATTTTGGTACACGAAATGATGACTGTACTTCTGAGAAATGCGTATTATCCACAGGTAATTAGCCACAGGTTGTCAGTTAGAGTTACAGAGAAGGAGACAATACTGGATCCAAAAGAATCGGCCTCCTTTGAGAGCTAACACGTAACAGAAGTCTTGTTTCTACATATCACTGCTAAAAATACCATCATAGCGTTATATATTTAATGATGTCAGTCCCATCTAAGTGTGAGACAGTAGTTGCGTGGTTTTGGAAGTCTTGATTAAGTCTGTGGCATCATCACATGTCAGTGACACTATGGTAATAAAACCCTCACGTTTATATACAATCAATCCTAATGTTCCAAAACATCTTATGTGAATTTAAGACACACCAGAGATGTACAAAAACAACTAAGAAACATAGCATGTTTTTGACAGATGCTTTATTGCTTTTGACAAAAGGTAGGATGTTGTTCAACGTTGGTAAAGTTGTCGCAGTGTTTGCTAAACTCTCGGTGTTGGGACGACACGCCAGGTCCTTTAGTTGGCAGCCATCTTCTGGCCGATCCAGTCCAACATGGAGGTAACACGGGCGTACACGCCGGGGTAGTTGGGCTGGGCACAGCCGTAGCCCCAGCTCACCACACCGTTCAGGTACCACTGGCCCAGTTTGGGGCAGACCAGAGGGCCGCCGGAATCACCCTGGAAAACGATAGACAATACACTTTATTGCCTTCGTCAGAAGGGTATGTTTTTGATTTTGCCATGGTTGAGTGCGGATAACCAAAGGTCAAGGTCAAAAATGGTTCACCTGGTTTTTCCAACGGTACTGCAGGGGACTTTTTATGCATTTATTGTTTGCACTTGCACTGCATAACTCGAGAAGTTGTTAATGGATCTTAATGATATTTGGTAACCCTAGCCTTCTTCACTGTATATTTAACCCGGTGACAGGAAGTTATCATAGACACATCACATCTGTAACTGATTAACTATGAATAAAGCAGTCAGAACACAGTGTCTGACAAGACAGTTCTAGCAGGCAGCCACAGAGTGCAGACCTCTTCCTTAGTAATCTCCCTTTCAATACCCTACACTGGTGGCAGCGGTGGGATTCGAACCCACGCCATTGAAATGACTGGTGCCTAAAACAAGCTAACAACACATTGCAACAATAATGTCCTTGATCCGAACAAGAAGTTCAACCTACCTGGCAAGCATCATGGCCGCCCTCCTGGAAGCCAGCGCACAACATGTACTGGCTGATCTCTCCGTCGTAGGAATTGGCGGCGTTGCAGTCGGCGTTGCTGACCAGAGGGACGCGGGCCTGCTTCAGGACATCGTCGTCACCGGTACCTTTAAATAAACGATAATACAATACGCCGATGAAGGTTAGACATCCGGGTAATAAGATACGCCAAAATGTAGTTACTCAAGCAAATTTCCAAAATCATATCCAGTTGCTTGAGTAACTGCTTTTTGGCGTGACCAATGTATGTAGGTGGCGCTTTTGCATCGAGAACACAATCCTAAACGTGGCTATCCCCCCTTGGCAGAGGCTCTGAGAAAGACGTCTGGCAGGCGTCGAAACGTAAGCAGGTGAGAAACACTACCGCTTGTGTAAAAAGAAATTCCTATATCCTACAATCTCTTAATGTTAAGAAAATTGAAATTTACCCTGAGTGTCTCCGAATCCAGTGGTGACACATGTGGTACCAGCTGGGGGATCGTCACCAGCGTGCTCGGGCAGACAGACGGTCTGGATGTACTGTCCCAGGACAGCGGGGCGGGACAGCTTCAGCAGGGTCAAGTCCTTGTTCAGAAGGTTATCATCGTACTCCTCGTGAACAATGACCTGTGACAAGGCAAAAACATGACAGTCGTACTTCTAGCATTGGATTAAAAGGCCACTGATGGTGACATATTAATTCACTGAGTAGTCATCTACTTCATAACATACGCACTCGAAATTGAATAATAATGAAAAATAGTGCAGTGGTTAGCAACAGGAAAAGACTCACCTTGGAGACAGAGTATTCCTCCTGAGATGTGCTGGACCCGTCAGAGAAGTGCTTGCCCAAGACGACTGTGTACCGGCTGGGAGTAGGGCTGTAGGAGAGTGCAAGGCGTTCGTAAACGTGTAAAGAAGGCTGTAGGTTGTGATTATCGAGGGAAGAGAACCACCTCGCCAATATAACGTTGTGCATTCTTTTTCTTAACTGTTTTGGGTTTCAGTTTCAGTAATATGTTCTGCCTTTGACCGTTTCTAGAAACAGAAGCATATTTTCCGTATGCATCGAAATGTAAAAACACCACAGGAACACAATAATATAATTCCGACCCCCAGGCGCTATGCGACTTGGGACTTTTTATCCCTGGCGCTAGGCATCCTGGGAATTGGAAAACAGTGAATCATACTTGTCCGTAAACAGAAACTAGTGGACAGGACTTACTCATCAACGAAGCAGTGAGCGGCGGTCAGGATCCACTCGGGGTGGATGAGGGAGCCTCCACAGAAGTGGTAGGAGGTCATGAGGGACGCCTGCCAGGGCCAGCTGCCGGGAACTGCAGCTTCGCCTCCCACAACACGGGTTGGCGGGAAGACGGGCTGGATGGGGGCGGTTCCGCAAGTGGAGTCGCCGCCTGTTAGATGATACACAGAGAAATTGGAGTTCAATTCTAACTGAAAGTCCTCTAGATCGTACCGTTACACTTATCTAGTATCAGAAACCCTGCTTCTGGACCACGTGGTCACCGGTTCGAATCCTGGCCTAACAGTCTATTGTCCGAATCCTGATTTGCACGTTGATTACTAAGGATTGGTAGTCTTCATGACAAAACGTCAGGAATTCGGTCCTTGTCAAAAGAAGGAAACACCCAAGAGCATTCGAACGGTCCTGATAGAATGCCATTATTCCATTGTCACCGACCAGAGCCTTATGAAGTTTAGACGCTAGCTTACCGCAGAGGAACTCGTCGCTTCCGTCTCCACAGTCGTCATTTCCGTCGCACTTCAGGCTGTCGCTGACGCAGTTTCCGTTCCAGCAGGTGAAGGTACCAGGTGCACAGGTGGCTGGAACAATTTTAAAAAATATGTTATTTTTTTATTCTATCTGATTTTAGCCTTAGTATTATGTCTTCGAAGAAGAAAAACATTTTGGTTTCTCATACTTCTTCTCCAAGAAATAAGGCCAGACGTCTGTCACCATGGTAATTGATGCTGTAGCAGACACCCTGTGGTGTTGCGTTACATTGACCGGAGTCAAGCTCTCGGCTTGGAAACTGATTCATCAGTACGTGCACTGCTTACGTGGGGGGTCGATGGCGGAGAAAGTGGCGGAGAAGCCGGACCCGGTGACGGAGCTGTCAGTGGAGAACACCACGAAAGCCTCGTTGCCATTGGCAACGACTTCACGGGCGGAGGATCCACAGAGCTTGCGCAGAAGAGGTGCGCTAGCGTCGGGACCATCGTATATGGCAATGGAGTCATAGCTGCAGCCGCCATCAGCCTCGACGTCCATGGTGTCGATACTACAAAGTGCAAAAATTTATACGCATGCTAAATGTTTCCAGAACAGAGATTATTTTAACAAATTTTATTGTGATCTTTCCTGGCATTGCGCTATAAAAAAACTGGTATAAGAATTTGTTTATTCCCTTACTTGATTTGAACCAGCTTGCCCGGGGTGACGGACATCTTCCAGGAGCACTGGGCGTTGTTGGGGTACTGGCTGGGGTAGTTGGGGGAGGTGAAGGTACCGGAGTCACCGGTCAGGACGGTGTTTCCACAGCTTCCACCGGTGGTTGGTGGGGTCACTGACAAGGAATTACAACATAAACATCATCACAAAAAAAGATCTGAACAGAGACGGGGGGCGACACAGGTTATCTGGCACGTGTGGCCCTCTGCTGCAGTCACGCGCTTCCTGGAAGTTGCAGTAGACGTGTCCATTACGTGAACAAGGCTGGTGCAGTTAGTCCCAATTTACTTAGTGATGGAACATAAAGTTTTAGCCTTTTCGTCAAATAATGTATTATACCAGCGGATATTCATGCTAAAAATGATAAACAAAAACTTTTTTCATTCCATGTCCTGCTGGCACACAATATATTCCAATAAATGACGACATGCAAATCTTAATGCATGGCAACACAAAAAACTAATAATTTATGTCACTGATATGAAATTGTTGCCAACTATATTTCAGGAAAAGTCACCTAGTTTCGTGGCTCTAGCGCAAGCCGTTCGGACGCTATCTGATATCAAAGTCGGCGCGGGCCCCCCTATTGTATATTAGGGCTTTGGTAAAACTCATCTTAATTCCTCAAAAGAACTTACCGGCAGGCGGGGTATCCACGGCGCTGTAGGTAGCGGCGAAGCCGGTCTCGGTGATGGAGCTGTCCGACACGAACCGCACGGTCATGATGTTGGAAGAGGCCACGACGTTAGAGGGGAGGCTGCTGCCGCAGAACGTTCCCAGCACGGGGGAGTGCGTAGAGTGGCCGTCGTACACCCTGACGTAGTCATAACTGGGGAACAAAAACAAGGTGAATAACAATGTACAGCACAGCGTAACCTTAGGCACCTCCTGTAGACACCGTCCGCAGTCGTAGCCGGCATTCAGTAGTTCTGCATGAGTGTTATATTTCAGCAAAAGCAAACCACCCAATATCTGTCGGTAAAGGATAGGCATCCAGGTAATAAGATACGCCAAAAAGCAGTTACTCAAGCAACTGGATACCTGCATTTCTCCTCTGGTCTCTCAGTCACTGACGAAAGCTAGTGGATGCTAGCTTAAAACGTCTGACCGTTTCCAAAATCATATCCAGTTTCTTGAGTAACTGCTTTTTTGCGCACCCAATATATGTTTGTAAAACCTTTATTACCGCGCAACCACAAAAGCGTAGGAAATTGACCAACAATTCCACAAGTCTATGAAAATATGGGGTGCTTTCTGAAGTATTATATGACCTATGAAAACTGCACCCGTGTAAAAAAAGTATTTATCATGTGCATCATCTCGCGCATACTAGCTGACGACATTTCATAATTCAAACTACATACCAATGCATCAAATAGATCGTGAGTTACAGCTGCGAACATGCGAGAAAGGATTTCAACTCACTCGCAGGTGCTGTCTTGCTCGACGTCGAACTGGGTGAACTGCAGCATGACGTACTTTCCGGTTGCCACGGTGATCTTCCAGGTGCAGTCCTGGTTGTTGGCGTAGTTCAGCAGCTGGAAACTGCCGGAGTCCTGGTGGTAGTTACCGCCGCAGGACTGCAGAGTACCTGCAGAACACCAAAACAAAGTCGTAACTTAACATCTAAGAATCATGATCACATCCGAGCGTGATGTTGCAAGTCTGGCATTTCCATGACAAATGCTCCGCGGAAGTCGGCCAGGACACGTTGGTCCGCCATCTTGGATTTTGACCGATAACGTTATCAAATTAGCATAAATTATAATTATTATTATAAATTTTATTATGTAATGAAAGAAATTATATGTAATTATATAAGATGTAATTAATGTTGAACAGGAAATATAATTATACAATAGAACCTAGAAAAATTTATGTTTGAATCAAAATTATTTATTTTTCCATAAACTGCCTGCCAGAAACCCGTTGCCATGAAAACACGAAATCAGGAACTTATCTAATTAATATGAAATTGTTGCCAGATATATTTTAGGAAAAGTCACCAAATTTGACGGTTCTAGCGCAAGCCGTTCAGGCGCTATCCGAAATGAAAGTGGGCGGGGGCCTGAAAAGCCGCCCTCCCCCGGTATAAATATGTCACGCCCAAGGTAAACAAACATCTGTCTTAACAGTTCCTCAATGTAAACCAAAACGTGAGTGTTTCGTGACATGATGAGCCTTGTTACACGAAGAAGAAGATAAACGGTAAATAAAAAATCGTTGATAGTACAGTTACACCTTTGTAAAGAATTGTACGGTGTACGGATTCATAGACGGAAAATTGATAGACTGGTGTGCGTGCATTACTAATCAAAATTGGGTGGTGTTTTCGTTTTATAGAAGATGACTACTGACCGGGGTCGGTAGGGTCGACACCACCACCACAGTTCTGTTCGTCGCTCATGTCTCCACAGTCGTTATCTCCGTCACAGATCCAGTTGCTGGGGATACACGTGTTGCCATGACCGCAGGTGAACTCATCGTTACTGCAGGTGGTGCCTAGAAACAAGGTTGCAGAAAGCGATGTCTAAAGATATAGTTCAAGCCGTTTGAGGAATGAATTTTGTAAAAAAAAGGGAGGCTTACAAATCTAAGACTTCTTTTTTTTGTTTCAGGCACTCACTGGCCTATATCTAGCTAGACAGTACAGGAACAAAACCTACAACAATACATACAAAACACACAAAAATCAAATCCTATATATACAGATGTTTCCAAAGGTTTGTAAAGTATTAGTTGCGATAGAGTGAATCCGACTTAAGCACAGACTGAACAATGGTGTTAGATGAGTGGAAAAGACGCAAACAAATGAACACTGTTTCCTAGTAAAATCGCTAGCTTCTGTGTTGTAACACACATGGTGTATAACAATCAATGTACTTTCTGTCCGATAGGTTAGTAGCTGTTTAGATAAACTAGAATCTAGTTTCTTACCTCCAGGACAGTTAGCGGTGTTCTCGTCTTCTCCTTGTGAACAGTCTCCCCAGTCGTCACACTCCCAGCTACCGGGGATGCACTGTCCGTCGTTACATTGGAAGTCTCCAATGGAGCACTGGGCTAGAATCACAACGAAAGTCATCATGTAGACACATAAGAACGAAAAGTGATTTTGATCCAGTTTTAGCTCACTCAAGTGCCATTTTTCCAGTGGTCCTGACAGAGAAGACAGATGCTATGTACAATATTTACAAGGTTCATTGTACCCGGAAAATTCCCCTAGCTCCTTTCAACAAGCACAGTGCACGTGGATAGTGAACCACAGCTTAACGTCCCGTCCTAAAGACCGATCCTTTCTACTAAAGTACTAGAGTGCATGTCGGGTGAGCAACAACAGCCGGGATTCGAACTCCCAGCCTCTTGGTCTAGAGGCAGGGTCGCTAACCACTGGACTACGAACGCTACCTAAAACATACACGATTCATGCAATGAATGTCAGTCACTACTGGTTCCTCTCTCACGCATTTGTCTGTCGCCAAAAAAATCGCTACGATAGTTGAAATCAAGATGGCGTGTCCTCTGACTTACCGTGAGCGCCCGCAACACACAAGAGTACAAGCCAAAGCATCTCGTTTTTCGGTGAAATAAAGGAAGAACGAGAAAATCCTCCTGCTTATATATCTAAACGTTATCTAATAGGCTTCGGCCTACCTACGTCAGTTGGTGTCTCTTATCACGTAGAACTAGATCTAACTAGGTGGGGTGTCTTCTGGACAATCAAAAAATGTTTTTCAACAAACAGAAGAGATCCTGTTGGGGACACCGCAGCGAGAAAAGAACATCTGCAGGAAGGGAAAACGTTGTGTAATGGATTTTACCCTCGCATTACATAACGTCCAACACGTTGATGAACACGCTTTTTGATAAAACTTAAATCTTTTTACTAAAAGTCCAAAATTATGATTGATAGTTGAAAATAATCAGACACATACTTACTCTCTTTATCATATATACATGTATATTTGACAGGGAAGCTCTGATATTTGGAATGTAAGGCAGTTTATAATTGGTCAGTCTTTTCCTTAGTTTGAAAACATGTGAAGAAGTGATTCTGTGCCTGCTTAATACCCAGTTTGGCAATGCTGAAAATTTTCATGACATAATCTTTTTCAAAATTAGAACATTTGATATCAAATTTTCTATCATTTGCGTCATCATGCAGTGTGTTTGTTCATAAAGGTAGGCCATCCCAATATAGTTATCAGCAAAAATGCGATAACGGAACAAACACAAATATTACATAATCTTGCAGTTATCATCTCCATCAATATGACACCTTACTCACGCGGACTGTCTTGTGAATTTGTTGACTTTTTGACTCAGGCACAATTTCCAGTGACGCAGGGTCAGTAACCTCAGGCTCACATTTAGTGCGAAGTATGCGACTTATATTAATTACCTGGATAGCGGTTTTACCGTCCTAATGTGATGACTGCCTTACAAACATCTCTATAGAAACTATATTAGATTTTACACAGCCTCAAAAGAAGAAGTTATACCCAACAAAACTAGTACCAGATGTTACACTGCTTCAAAAGAAGAAGTCAAACCCAGAAAACCCAGTATTTCTACGTACTAGTACTATGTTGTAGAATGAAGTACAACGTTGGACGTAGTCTCTTATATCATTGTATTCGCCTCTTTCGTACATGTTGATCATTCTTGCAATTAGGACAGTCTATTTCATATTAATTTGCCCTCGGACAGTCTCTGTAATGTATGCATTTGTCTTCTGAGACTAAATAGGTCTCAACAAATAATGCTAACACACTTTTGTCTCTACGAAGGTCGCATGACCATGTGACTGTAACCTTCTGTCAGTCACGATGCCTAACACGGAAACGCACGCCGCTAATGACGCCTGCAGTTTAAGGTTATGTCGCTAGGTGATAAAAGTACGATTTTGTACCGTTTTCTCACATCCACCCCGCCCAGTAGATTTTGAATTCTGCCCCTCTAAATATAAATATTTTGGCTCTCTTCACATGCCTGGCTTAAAAATGTCCACATAGTTTATCCAAGATAAAGTCCGGAACCTACTCCCGTTGTCATTCCAATGCGGGTGTTGACATGTTTGTACTGGCTTTAAAACCGGCCGCGGAATGGAATGTTTACATATAAACTGTGTCACTAATATGAAAGTTCATGACTGACTGATGATGCAGAAAGAAAAAAAGCAACGCCACACATATGTGTTGACTTTTTCTATCACTTTTATTTTGATGTTTGTGTTATTTTCTTTATGTACGAAGAACGTCCCTAAAAACCTTTAGTGTTCACCCTGATAAAAGAAAACAGATTCTAATAAATAAATAAATAAGTTCATTAGTGACGCTGAAGAAAAGTGAAGGATGTCACTTCAGACGTCCGGAAGTAATCTCCATAATGTATCCAGTAGTAGATCTAGAGTTTGAATTTTCTATAAGTATTGTTTACCTGGAGGTCTGACCTCCACCAACATAAAACAATAAACATTGTGTTTGTGTCATAAGCGATGAGAAAGTGATTCAGATATTCGAAGATAAGGTCATAGCTCTAACTTTGACAAGCCATTCATTTTTTCCAAATTCGTCCTTGACCTCTGTCACAGCGTTAGGGGTACAAAAGCGTGTTTTGCGCCACGTAGTGAATATGCCATAATGTGTTTTTTTATATCAGGAAAAACCTGCGTCGTTGAAAGTCATACGCGCGCGCACACACACACACACACACACACACACACACACACACACACACACACACACACACACACACACGGTCTTGGGACGAAATGCCAGGTCCTTTAGTTGGCAGCCATCTTCTGGTGGATCCAGTCCAACATGGAGGTGACACGGGCGTACACGCCGGGATAGTTGGGCAGGCCACAGCCGTAGCCCCAGCTCACCACACCGTTCAGGTACCACTTGCCCTGGCGGGGGCAGACCAGAGGGCCACCGGAGTCACCCTGGAAAATGAATGATAGACAATACACTTTATTGTAGTTGTTGTGGAAGCACCAACACCACGTAGTACTCTGTATCCTAACATGAGTTCAAAGATCAGCGCCAAAGAAAATTTTAGAAAACCCCTATTGCAGTTCCAATCACCAGGGGCCCAAAGTCAACCTACATAATCCATTTCACCCCACCTACCCACCGGCCAAATACCATTGTATTCCGTCCGACGAATCTTGAGATATACAGCAATACATCATCCAGACCAAAAACAGACACCTTCCACTTCATGGGGGTGAATAAGAACCCACCTGGCAAGCATCATGGCCGCCCTCCTGGAAGAAGCCAGCGCACATCATGTACTCTGTGATCCCTCCGTCGTAGGACGCGGTGGCGTTACAGTCGGCGTTGCTGACCAGAGGAAGGCGAGCCTGCTTCAGGACATCGTCGTTACCGCTACCTTTGACGTGAACGACAATACGGTTTGTCAGTGGTGGTCAACACGTGTCAAAGGTATCTTGTAAACAATGTCGGCCTCCGTCCCGGTTGAATGATGGGTGATGCGCTCTGGCCTGAAGCACTCGCGACCGAGTTCAGTGAGTTCAGAAGTGTCACAGCATATTTTTATCAAGTCACCTGGACATTTTGTTTCATTGAACACTGTAACAATACTCGATACTGAACAAGACGACAACACAAACCCAAACGTGGCTAAGTTTGTTTGTATACCCCCTCGTCAGAAGCTCAGACAGACATCGAGACGTAAGTAGGTGAGAAACATTTACCTGTTATGCAAGAATAAAAATTCCTCTGTCCTACAATTCATAGTACGTTCAAAAACGACGGAAATTTACCCTGAGTGTCTCCCCAACCAGTGGTGACACATGTGGTGCCAGCTGGGGGATCGTCACCAGCGTGCTCGGGCAGACAGGCGATGTGGATGTACTGTCCCAGGGTAGCGGGGCGGGACAGCTTCAGCAGGGTCAAGTCCCTGTCGAATAAGTTATCATCGTACTCCTCGTGAACAATGACCTGTGACAAGGCACAAAAAACATGTACTTGACGCATTGGTCATAAATAGCCATTGATGATTATGTAAGTGACAGACGTATCTTTTACGTGACCTGTCTTGACATTTTAACCTCTTGGTTACGTGACTGCTCTTGTGTAGCTGAAGAAAGATTCTACGCTTGGTTCTGAACGGTTCTACGCTTTTACATTTGTACGTCGTTTGTGTCAATCCCTCCTGTCACTGAGAGACACTTTTTACTCGAAGGAAAGTTCATCCATGATGGTAAACTACATCATGGAGGTCCATGACTACATTAAAAGAACTTTCGTTGATATGAACAGGATGACACGATTTTCTTTCCTTGTCAATTGACTCTCATCTGGGTCTGTTTCAAATGGTGCAAATGAGACTAGCAACGGGAAAGAGACTCACCTTGGAAACAAAGTATTCCTCCTGAGACGTGCTGGACCCGTCAGAGAAGTGCTTGCCCAAGATGACACTGTACCGGCTGGGAGTAGGGCTGGTGTAGCAAAGTGCAAGGCATTTGTAAACGTTAGAAGAAGGCTGTGGGTTGTGAATGGGAAATAACGGCAGAAACAGGCCAATTGCTGATATAACGTTAACGTTGCGCATTTTTTAAAATCTTAACTGTTTTGAGTTTCACTTTCTGATGTGTTCTACCTTTTACCAATTGAAAAACTATTCCTGCAAATAATTCAACAGATGCTGTAGTATATAGATATTAATTTAAGGGAGCAACCTTCATCATTTTAGATTCTGTCATCATCGAATGTAAAAACACCACAGAAACACATACATGTAATTCCGACCTCATGGCACTTTACGAGCTGGGAATGGGAAAACGATGAATCATCACAACAGAACCAAGTACGTCAATGGACAGGACTTACTCATCAGCGATGCAGTGAGCGGCGGTCAGGATCCACTCGGGGTGGATGAGGGAGCCTCCACAGAAGTGGTAGGAGGTCATGAGAGACGCCTGCCAGGGCCAGCTGCCGGGAACTGCAGCTTCGCCTCCCACCACACGGGTTGGCGGGAAGACGGGCTGGATGGGGGCGGTTCCGCAGGTGGAGTCTCCGCCTGTTATGATACAAGCCAAACTTCCGTTAGATTTGAACTCCAATTTCCCTGACCGTGGTTTACTGATCAGTAATTTAGTTATCAGAAACTTCTGGACCACGTGGTCACCGGTTCCAATCCCGGCCTAACAGTCTATTGTCTGAACCTTGATTTGCACGATGATGGTCACTAAGGGATGTTAGTCTTTAGGACAGGACGTCAGGAATTCGGTCTCTGTTAAAACAAGGAAGCATCTGCAGCATTCTAACGACCCTGCTTCATGTATGTATACTATCATTACTCTGTTGTCATCGACTAGAGCCTTATGCAAATCAAGATCAAGACGCCTACCACAGAGGAACTCGTCACTTCCGTCTCCGCAGTCGTCATTTCCGTCGCACTCCAGACTGCCGCCGACGCAGTTTCCGTTCCAGCAGGTGAAGGTACCAGGTGCGCAGGTGGCTGGAAGCAAATAATCATGAAATGTCTCATTTTTTAGATTCTATTCTCCGAGTATTGAGTATCTATTTCTATCTATGACTTAAACTCATGATTCCCTCTGCTGGAAATTCGGTCAGACAAGACTAATCAAGCTGAAAACAGTAGTACATTTTTCTTTATCAAACTTGATGTGTTGTTTTGCTTCAAGTGTACATCAGTCGTCAATAGTACGTGGATCCCATTTTCTTCATTTTCTCCATTCCCGTCGACAGGATATCCGCGGCCGATCGACCTCTCTTGCTTTTACGTCAGTTCATTTTCTTCAACCTTCGTTGACCTTGAAAACCTTGATTTCCTTTCCAGAAACGTTCCCTCACAATACATGCAGTGCTTACTTGGGGGATCTATGGCGGAGAAAGTGGCAGAGAATCCGGTCGCGGCCATCAACATGTCGGTAGTGAACACCACGAAAGCCTGGTTGCCGCTGGCAACAACCACACGGGGGGAGGTGCCACAAAGCGTGCGCAGAATCGGTGCGCTGGCGTCGGGCCCATCGTACACGGTAATGTAGTCAAAACTGCAGCCGCCATGTTCCTCTATGTCCATGGAGGCGAAACTATATAAAAGGAAAAAAAACACAAAGGTGTGGGCCGAAGGTGCGAAGTCTATACCGCCCACCGTCCCGGTCCAGAGAGTGTTGAAGGGCTCTGACGTTGGTGTCAATAACCGTATGTAGGGTAATCAGATATAGGTCCAATATTTCGATAAAAGAAAGAAGCTTTTACACTTTAGAATCAGTCACCATGGTGACAGACATTTGATCTAGAGCAACAGAGCAAAACAATATGTTTTCGAATTCCTTCTGCAAAGTTAAACATACATATTTGTTTATTCCCTTACTTGATTTGAACCAGCTTGCCGGGGGTGACGGACATCTTCCAGGAGCACTGGGCGAGGTTGGGGTACTGGCTGGGGTAGTTGGGGGAGGTGAAGGTACCGGAGTCACTGGTCAGGACGATGTTCCCACAGCTTCCAACGGGAGTTACCGTTGGTGGGGTCACTGGCAAGGAATTATAGCATAAACATCATCAAACAAGATTGGCAACATGAAAAGACATTGCAATTGCGACGGCTGTCTCTGTATGTTCGCTTTTCACTACTCACTACTCATGAAAGTTATTCTAGCATTTCTTTACAATTTCAAGCCATTATGCCATTTCCTCCTGAATCATGCAAATGATGTCACACTCCCATTTCCAACCCTCCCACGCCCATTTCTAACCGTCCCACGCTCTTATCCAACCGTTCCATGTCCCTGTTTACAGACCGCACCGAGGCAGGATTGCAACCTCTCCTGGAGGAATGGCCCGGAGTACCCTTATCATATTGTAGATTTGGGCTTTGGTACAATTTATCTTTGATTCCTTTAAAAGAACTTACCGGCAGGCGGGGTATCCACGGCGCTGTAGGTAGCGGCGAAGCCGGTCTCGGTGATGGAGCTGTCCGACACGAACCGCACGGTCATGATGTTGGAAGAGGCCACGACGTTAGAGGGGAGGCTGCTGCCGCAGAACGTTCCCAGCACGGGGGAGTGCGTAGAGTGGCCGTCGTACACCCTGACGTAGTCGTAACTGGGGAACGAAAGCAAGGTACCTAATACCAGCCCAGAAGAGAACAAGAAATGGCCATGCCTTCAAATACCAGAGATATCAACCAAGAGTTGAGGTGTTTAAGAGTTCATTCTTTCCAAGAACTATTGCAGAGTGAAACTCGCTGTCACAAAGTACAGTAGGGACATTGTCATTGGATAGCTTTAAACAATGTCTAGAGTTAGATGTTCAAGGATTAGGCGTAACAAGTCGATCGGTGTAATGTAGCCAGCTGCCGCCGCGCCACGTGCCTGCGTCACAGAGGTCACTGACCTACTTCAAGGAGTAGAAAAAATGCGACTTCAACTCACCCGCAGGTGCTGTCTTGCTCGACGTCGAACTGGGTGAAGGCCAGCATAACGTACTTTCCGGTTGCCACGGTGACCTTCCAGGTGCAGTCCTGGTTGTTGGCGTAGTTCAGCAGCTGGAAACTGCCGGAGTCCTGGTGGTAGTTACCGCCGCCGCAGGTCGTCAGGGTACCGGCACCTGCAGAACAACAAAACAAAGTCGTAACTCATACTAACTGCACACCTAGCAATCATGATCACAGCCAAGCGTGATTTTGCAAGTCTGGCGTTACTCTATCGCTATTTCCATGGCAAATTCTCCGCGGAACTTCAATCTCTTTCACAGCTACGGAAGCAAATCAGCTTTTTTTTTCTTCCAAACTCAATCTCTCATGAGGACGTTCCAAGCTAGAAGCTTCTTTCCTAATACACCAATAGATAGAACAAGTTACATCTCTATAGGACAAGCTACATCACTACAGGACAAGCTGCATCTCTATAGAACAAGTTACATCACTACAGAACAAGCTATATCACTATAGAACACGCTACATCACTATAGAACAAGCTTGTGAATTCTTCCCAACAACTTCAAACTTTTCAAGTCAAAGGTAAACAAACACCTGTCCGTTTGGAATCAAACAAATATGTTTGTACATGGAGCAAAAATTGAATGTTATGAGCTGTTGTTAAAAAAATAGAACATTTTAAAATAATTGCACTAGAATATCGTCTGATATTTTATTAATGTCGGTAAAAGTGCCTATCAGTTTTGCATTTTGTAGACGATGACTGCAGTACTGACCGGGGTCGACACCACCACAGTTCTGTTCGTCGCTCGAGTCTCCACAGTCGTTGTCTCCATCACAGATCCAGTCGGTGGGGATGCACGTGTTGCCATGACCGCAGGTGAACTGATCGGCATCACAAGAGGCACCTGAAGACAAGGTTGCAGAAAGCGATGTTTGAAGATACAGTTTAAAACGTCCGAAAATAATTTCGTCAGGTTGGTCGAACTTAGGATATTGGTATTTTCTTAAAGTGTACGAACTGGACCACATTTAAAAAAAAGAAGATTTTGAAGGATATTGGCTAGGGGCTCTCATTTTGGAGCCTATACTGCGCAACGCAATAAAAACGTCTGCCCTAGAATCAGGTGTCTTACTTCCAGGGCAGTTAGCAGTTGCCTCGTCCTCCCCCTGTGAACAGTCTCCCCAGTCGTCACACTCCCAGCTACCGGGGATGCACTGTCCGTCGTTACATTGGAAGGCTCCAGTGATGCACTGAGCTGGAATCACAATGAAAAAGACATCATGTAGACATAAAAAAAAGTAAAGTGAACCAGTTTTAGCTCACTCAAGAGCTACTTTTCCACTGGTCATGACAGAAGACAGACGCTATGTACAGTATTTACAATGTTCGTTGTACTGGGCAATTCACCTAGCTCTTTTCAACAAGCACAAAGAACAGTGGATCACAGCTTAACGGCCCGTCCTAAGGACTGCAACGCTTTCTACTAGCGTGCCGGGTGAGCGACAACAGCCGGGATTCGAACTCCCAAACTCTTGGTCTAGAAGCAGGGTCGTTAACCACTGGACTACACATGCTACCTACTGGTAATGTCTCTACTGGTCCTATGTCAACGCTCTCACCAAAAAAATAGTTAAGATAGTTAAAATTAAGATGACGTGTCCTCTGACTTACCGTGAGCGCCCGCAACACACAAGAGTACAAGCCAAAGCATCTTGTTTTTCGGTGAAATAAAGGAAGAACGAGAAAATTCTCCTGCTTATATATAATCGTTATGTAACGGGATTCGGTCTACCAACTTTCATATCAAATTTCCCATGATTCATACAACGCGTTTGCTGATATATGTAGGTCATCCCAAATGAGGTTATCAGCAAAAATGCGATAATGGACCAAATACAAATTTACATAATTATCTGATTGATACGTCGGTGAAGGTTAGACATCCAGGTAATACATCCAGACATCTGCGCGTGCATGAAATTTTATACTTCGTCAGTTTCCAAAAATGTTTTCGACAATGCTACAAATCGTACAAAGCATCTGAAAAATGAGCAAATATGCCATAAATTACAAAAAAGAGATAAATATTAGAAAACGATACTAATGTCGTAGAATGCAAAAATCAATTCCAAACGAAAGGAAGAAAATGTGAAGAAATGAAGATGAAAAGTCTATTATTCGCCATGCCATACTCTCTGTGACTACGTACATTTCATAATGAAGGCAACGATCTTTTGCCAAACTTTTTTATTAGCTAGCACGCTTGCATCAGTTTTCTAGAGGATGTCATCCATATAATCAAATCAACATGGCCTTATGGAGCTACATTATGCAGGAAAATGGGCCGACGTTGCTAGGGGTT